ACACGTAGATAAAAAAAACCAAACTTACAAACTTGAAAGTTTCCCCTTAAAATCAGTTGAGCACCTTCCTATGTGATCAATTATTTGGAACTGAAAGTTTCTGAAAAACTTTCAGAAACCTTGTTTGTTCAACATTTGTGTGCCTGGTCCTCCCGGTAATAGTCTAGACTTAAGAAAGTCGTCGAAGCTGGGCTTTGATACCAAATGTTGTGTGTGAAACCAGGGGTCTTATTTAGTAGATGAATAAATGACTGATGGGAAGTAATATGGGGCGAAATATGGGAGATTTTTAGGAATTCTTTTTGGTGATTTTATGAAAGAAAAGAATAGGTTTAGGAGGAGAAATGGTGAGGCACGGAAATGGAAGGGTAAAAATAGGAAGGGATAAACCAAGTTGTTGTTTAGAGATATGATACACATTTATCTTAACTTGGGGCTAAGTCTAGAATTTAATTAAGAGAACCACTCTTAGGATATATAATTTAGAATTTGGCTAAAATAGCATTACACTATTTTGAGAATTACTCAAAGAGTAAAACCATGGATTTTCCATTAATATCAAGTTGTGTTAGAATGGCCAAATGGCCGAAGCTTATACTGGAAACAAGAAATACACTTCGCTAATAATACATACAATCAGACAAAATAAAAGTGTAATCTAGCTTCCTAATTCGCTCACCACCTAGCTCATCTTCACATGGGGAATTCAAGCTAACTATTTGATGAAGAAAAACATAAAGAAATACCAAATACTTTTAAGCTAAATGACACACCACTTGCTCCCTTTATTCAAAGACATTTTTTGTGTTGTTTGGGAGGAATATTTTGGCCATTTTGGTTAAAACCAAGACAAGGAATTTAAGTGAAGAACTCTTGACTTTTGTGGCGCAATATGACAAACTGTTAGTATTCACATAAAAACTTCTTCCTTCTTCATTTTTGGCCATATGTGGAGGGTGATTTGTTAATGTTTTAGTGAGTATGATGACTCATTCTTGGAAGATTATGAAAGGAAGTTTTGGCCTAGGGGAAGGAAATAAAGGCATAAAAATTTTAAGACACAAAAAGACAAACAGATACTGTTCATTTGGAGACTTTTGTTTCTCCAAATTATGGCTAACATGTGGGATGATGATAGAAACCTGTTTGAATTAATTCAGGATCTAAATTAATTCTAAATAGAACTCTCCCTCCCTTCTCTGAGTAAGAAACTCACCGATGAAAAAGTGATAGAAGCCAAGAGGATCTCAATGTGATTGATAGTTTATTTTCCACAATAGAGAAGCTGGGATATTTATAACAACTCTAACAAATGGATAAGATAAAACTGATTGGATTAGATCAAGAGAATAAATTGATAAGTTCTAACTACCTAAGCTATCCTAGGGCCTCAGGAATCCTAATAACCTGAGTCCTTTTATTTAATAAATAAAAAATAGTAACAAATTTAATTAACCCACACCTAATATTATAATTAAGGTGGCCTTCTACTATCACTGATCCGGATCTTATCATTACTCCCCTTTCTGAAGGACACCTTGTCCTCAAGGTGGAAGTCTGGATGTTGGTGTTGCATTAAGTCATTGAGATTCAAAGGAAATTCTTCCTCTACTCCTAACTGCAGCACACGACACACCATTGAATTTAATCTACTGCTTTGATCAACTTCCGAGATGCCTTGTAATTTATATCACTTCCCGTCAACCAAAAAAATCAGAAACATCTCATTCTAGTTTGCTTGAATGGTATTCAGAGAGGCTAACCATTTGATTCCAAGGACCATGTCAGAACGAACTAGTGGGAATGGGTAAAAATCTTGTGTAAGAGTCAAACCTAGAAGCCTAACTGAAACGGACTTGCAAATCTGATCACATTGAATAATAAAACCGTCTCCTACCTGTACCCCAAATGTCTGAACAGAGGAAAAAGGTAGCTTAAGTTGCTCCACTAGTTTTTCAAAGATAAAGTTGTGTGTTGAACCACTATCAATTAACAAGAGAACTTCATGTCCATGTAATTTTCCACTTAATTTCATTGTGGCGGACGTTGGCATTCCCAGAATTGCATTAAAGGATGCTTCCTCTTCTTTTGCCTCCCCATCAATGGGAACATGCTTGGGATTCATCGGGTTACCTTCCTCATCAACTTCCATCAAGGAGAAGGTAGTGGATGAAGTCGAACAACGGTGACCCGGCCTAAAGGGATCGCCACACCGAGAGCAAAGTCCTTTATCCCTGCATTGCTGCTTCATCGACTCATCCCTACTAAATCTCGAAACGGGCAAGGTTGGTGTTGAGCTTGAAGATCCTGAGAATGCAAGTGGCTGGGGCGAGTGAGATTGGGACATGTTTTTAAACTCTCGGTTTGGGTCAATGGTAGAATCGGAACCAGCACCCCGACCTGATCCCATAGAACTTGTCTTGAAATGCACAGGTGCATTCCGCTTCTCAAACACAAGGGCTAGACTAAAGCCCTGAACACAAATTTGGGTTTTGTGGATTCTGACCTCCAACCTCAAATCCTCTCTAAAACCAGCAATAAAGACACCCAAGAGACAATGGTCAGGCCAGTTTCGGACTCGAGCAACCCTTCTCCCCCACTCTTGACGATAGTGCTGTACGGAGCCAGTGTGTTTAATTAAGACAAGGTGTTTGTCTGGGTTCAAGTATTCTGGCAGTCCATAATGCTCCTCAAAGATTTTGATGAATTCCTCCCAGTACAAGAGCGTCCTTTTGGCACTGATCCAGGAGAACAAGTCGAGAGCGTCACCTTCGAGGTGCATGGCTGCTATCTCAACCTTATCTTCTTATGATGTTCCATAGTAACGAAAGTACTTTTCAGCTTTCAACACCCAGCCCCGTGGATCTCCGCCGCTGAATTTAGGGAACTCAACTTTGGATCTGGGAAACCGGCGGGGGTGATCGTTTTCATCGCCAGAATCGTCCGTATACTGCCCAGAATTACTACTAGCCTGCACATTCAGGGTAGTCACTTCTGCGTTAAGGTCATCTAACACAAAAAGCTTCGCCGCGATTTGTGCTAGAGTGTTGTTCTGGGGAATAACTTCGTGCACTGATTGCTTGCTGGATCCACCGTCCTCACCGTGGGCAGCGTTTGAACGGGTAATCGCCATCGGGATCGAGTAACGAGCTCTCTGATACCAAATGATAGAAACCTGTTTGAATTAATTCAGGATCTAAATTAATTCTAAATAGAATTCTCCCTCCCTTCTCTCAGTAAGAATCTCACCGATGAAAAAGTGATAGAAGCCAAAAGGATCTCAATGTGATTGATAGTTTATTTTCCAGGATATCTCAGCAATAGAGAAGCTGGGATATTTATAACAACTCTAACAAATGAATAAGATCAAACTGATCGGATTAGATCAAGAGAATAAAGTGATAAGTTCTAACTAGCTAAGCTATCCTAGGGCCTCAGGAATCCTAATAACCTGAGAGTCCTTTTATTTAATATATAAAAATTAGTAACAAACTTAATTAACCCACACCTAATAATATAATTAAGGTGACCTTCTACTATCATTGATCCGGATGTTATCAGATGATTTGGTTTTGTTTTCTTTACAAAATGACTTATTCTTGGAAGATTTATGAAGGAGAAATTTTGGCATAAGGGAAGGAAATGACAAGGGAACGTTAGGTGGCTAAATGGAAGACTTTAAAGGATAAAACAAGAAACTAAGGTTTTATTTAGTCTTTAGCATTTGCGTCCAATGCTTGAAATGGATAAGGGAAGACTTTATTTTGGACTTAAAATGATATAAAAGACTTTTTGGATATTTTGGGAGCGATAGTTTTTAGTGGAGCCATACAGGGACATTCCTTTGGTTGGCATGACACAAAAGACTAGCATGCAATGCAGAACGCTATAGAAGGCATATGGCTGTTGAGGATAGGTGTCCATTCTACCCAAATTTATAGGTGTCCATTCTACCCAAATACGATAGAAACTGTGGCACATATCCTCCGTGAATGTCCAAATACACATAGGGTATAGAGCCCGATGTTAAAAAGAAGGACAATGCAAAGCTTGGCAACACTCGACTTCTGACAATGGATGGATGTTCAAATTGCAGGGAAAATTACGTCACATGGGTTGGAGTGGCCGATGATTTTTGTGATCACGTGTTGGTGGGATTGAGATGGAGGAATGATTATGTCTTCAACAATGTGAACATGATGATGAGAGTAGAGTTAACTGGATTCAGTCAGAAAAGGAGATAGTGAGAGCATTCCAGAACCAAAATGTCATTGAAATGCCGTTAGACAAGGAGTTGGCGGCTCAGGTAAAATGGTTGAAACCGAATGTTGGGCACTAAATATTTAAATGTGGATGTGAGTGCAGATGCTAATGGTACAGGTTGTGGAGGAGTATTAAGAGGGCATGAGGGGAACTGGATAGGGGGTTTCGTGTGCCTATCATACCATAACTCATCATACCATTGGTGAATGCTGGGTAATTCTGAAAGGCCTCATTTGGGCGTGGAAGAAAGGCCTTCCCAAGTTGTCAATCCAATGCGACTCTATGGAATGCATGGACTGGATTCAAGGTAAAGATACAACAAGGGGTCTTGCAAATAATATCATTGAAGTGTGCCAGTGTTTGATAATGAAGCGATGGGAGGTTCATATATATCATGTTTTTAGAGAGCACACCGAATCGCAGATGCACTTGCTAAAATAGGGAAGGACACATGGGTGAGTTAGAGAGAGTTAAGTTACCCACCAAGGATTGTTCGCCAATTGGACAATTGGTGCAGGAAGACACACTGGCCAAGACATGTGCTACTGTGCTAAGGAGCCACATCTCTTAAGGCTCAGGATTTCACCCCTTAGCTTTGATCTAAAAATAATAATTGCCTCTAGACCTTAATAATATACTCCTTTAGAAATATACTCATGCAATATTTTACTGTGAGAGAACCAACACTGCATCATTCATATGTGCATAGAGAAATGCAAATTCAAGAGTCTACTCACAATGCTGATGTTGTGGTTGTTGTCATTAAAACATTTACATCCGGCATCCTTTCTAAGCAGCATTTGATCACGGGAATCGCAGCCAGTCCCTCACCTTTTTTCCCAAATAAAAGCAAAAGACAGAAAGAATTTGAAATCAATGGAGATCACCACATTACACAAAATCATCACTAGCTGAAACAAGACAAATTAAATCATAATTTGAAAGTAATTCAACATTTTGAAGTGTAGACTTGAGCAGTACTGTATTAGACAGATAAGGATGACAAAGCGTTTGGTCAAGGAATGGTATGTGTCTCTCTCGGCTTATCAGTTTTAAGCTTTCGAGTCCAACTCTAGACGCATTCAATCTAGCTCCGCCAGTGGTTGTGGGGATTTTACAAGAGGAGACACTCACCAAGCGACACAGCATGGAACCAAACGAGGGGACCAGGAGGACGAGGGAGAGAAGGACGGCCAAGACGCTCGCCCCACCGGATGGGATGCTCGAGGCCGCGGCGTTTACGCCAACGTAGATTGAGGTGTAACAGTGGCGAGAGGCAGAAGGTCATGACTCTGTAAATTCTGTACAATATTTCACCAGGTCCCGTTGCCATCGAGGTCTCACTACACTGTCTTTGGACAGGGCGCACTGGGGCAACATCCTTTATACGGAGTATATAAAAGGAGACTCTAAGTACAAGAACACGACATTTGGCAATGTTTAATTGTGACATTTGGCTATGTAGCGTGTCACTTTTTGACAAATGATATATGACGAGGCATTAGAGAATTAAATAAATAATTAACGAAGCGCGGATTAGGATTTAATTAGATCGGATAAGAATTTAAATAGACGGCAAACGATTTAGGAAGCGCGGAGTGCACGCTAGTTCAACAATATTACAAATTAAAAGCGGGGTCTGGGCGGTAGTCCCTAGGTAGCGGGGTCCAAGTGGCGGCAGCCCCTAGCGAGGTCCAAGGGGCAGTGCCCCAAGCCGAGGGAATATTTTTTATTTTAGACTTTTTTTCTTTATGGAAATCCTTAAGATTTTCGTGTTCGGAGTCTAAAATAATAAATGACTCGAACTACTGGATAACGTCGAATTTGACCCCAAAACCACAGGATCTTCTCGCACGTTACTTCTTTACCGTGCAAACGTACGCGTCTACATGAACAATCATGTTCGGTCATGAATTTTTCGATTCTATAAAATAGAGTCTCGTGGTATGGATTGAGTTTTGGATTTTGAGTGCTTGTTATTGATTAAAGTCTTATCTGATTGAAGTATTTCGTTTACCCTGAAATAACTTTGATCTGAAAGCGTTTATACGCGATTTTTTATACTATCAAGTTCATCAACACTGCTCCGCAATGTTTTTCATACAAACATTCCTACACTTTTTAGGCGTGTTCATTAGGGGCAGGGAGCGGAAGTTTCATCGAGTGGTGTTGTTTGTTTTATTATTATGGGGCTAGGTGTCTCAATGTAATCACTTGTGGCAATGTGATGTTTTCTAGCTTTGTTCATTAAGTGCTAGATCTGGCATGCATTAAAATTGTTTTGTGTGATGTTTTGTGGTTTATTATTATAAGGATTGGCATGGAAATTTGGTCGTTGTGTTTTGTTATATAATATAATTCATGTGTAGATGTCATGTCATGTCGTACCTTTTGTCATTAGTCAATATGCTACATGCTTCTGACTCCATGTAGAATTGATGGTAGTTATCATACTTTACATTTATCTTTGAAATTTTTGCTCCATATAGCACTCAAACATTGGAATCTTCCGTATATAGCACCAACTTCTTTTTTCCCTAAATGGCACATTTTATTCTTAAATGGGACGTATTTGTCCTCCTCCTTATTCCCACGTTTTTTAGTATTTCATTCCATGTAAAAACTTAATCACCAGTGATTATCTCCAAAAATTTAGGAAGTCAAATCTCCACACCCCACACGTCTGTCATCGCCTACCCTAACGGCTCTTTTCCTTTCCCTTCTTTTGTACCCCCTTGTCACCGGTTTTCATCTCCAGAAGGAAGAACATGTTCTCTTCTTTATTGCAAGCGGTTTCTCAATCATTGATCCCCTAGGGAAGGTATGCTCGTGTTCTCCTGAAATTTGATGGTGTTTGGTGTAATAATTCTGAATTCAACTTTAAGTGGTTCTATGAAATTGATGTCTGTTGTGAGTCTACGTATGAAGATCTACTCCACTTAATTCGATTGACAGTTTCGTCATATGCTGAAAATTCAGAATTTATAATGTCATACACGGGCAATTCTACACAGACGCGTACCTTTGTTCATGTGATTCTACCTTTATTCTTACATTCGCTTACCCTTTGATTCTCCACGTGATTTCGAATCCGACATGAATGCTTTTTCTCAGGGGGGACACATCTCTCCCCGGGCATTCAAACGCACACGGTGGTGATGTCCTAGAAGTGCCTCAAAGTAGCTCGATTAGTAATCACTATGATCACCGTCTCATACTTTCTTTGACATCTCCTTTGTTTCAGACATATATTGAAGAAACGCTGGTGGAGAACAATTTGTTTTTGTCCAATGATAGTTCAATGTCACATAGTACCCTCATGTATCTTGAGGAAATAGCTATGTTAAGGGATTTGAAGGTTATATCTCGGTTTTATCCAACTACGATTGCGTTGAGTGCAGTTTATGAGAGCAAGAATGATCTTCTTTTCCATCTTATATCCCTCTATGTTGTATGCGCGGATTAAAAAAGATGCAGCTGGGCGATGCAAGCAGTGCATTTGGATAAAAAAAAGTGGAGATTTTTCAAGTTTGCATGTTCGCCTTTTAAACCTCTATTTGTTTTATGTTGGTCACATCTTTCTTATAAGTTTAATAGCCAGACATATAATGTCTACATATTTCTGCCCAGTGGTCATTCTTTACTACGTTTAATATCCACGTAATACATACTATGATCTATATTGTTTCTACCAGAACCTTTCTTATATTTCGTTCTTCCTATACTATATTCACAGTTGTACATATACATTTCATACTTTCTAAATAGTCATAATGCCCATCGATTTTTACGTAACGGTTGTTTATTTTAACAGTGTCATAATGCTTAATTAATGTGTGATATGTTTTTTCCATACTAACCTAATACTTAATTTACTTATATGACTTGGATTTGAATAGATGTCGTGCATAATGTCCTTAAAAATTCTCTTAATATGGACATACTCGGTGTGTTATCAATTTTAATCTTTTTGCATACTGATGTAATGTTCAGTGTATTTACCCACACACTATGTTATCCAGGTATGACCACGAGCATCAATGCCCTATAGATACACGTTAAGGGAAAACAAGACAAGCTACTTATGATGTTGTTGCAGATTTTGTGAAACATCAATTTCATGATGCGACAAAGAGGCTTTACGCACCAAAATCAGTTATGGTAGACATGCAAAGGGAGCATGGGATTTATATGACATATAAAAATGCTTCGTTTGCAAAAGAGAAGGCTCTTTAGCTATGTTTTGGCACTCCTGAGGAATCTTATGCATCATTGCCGTCTTTGTCTATTATGTTCCATGTAAGGCTAATCCGGGGTCTTTTATATAGTTCTTAATGACCCCAAGAAATTTTTTCAAACATTTCTTTATTTCACTTTCACCATGGAGGGACGGGTGGCAACATTGTGTCCCGGTGTTGATTATTAATGGTTCGTTTATGAAATCCTACGACAAGGGAACTCTATTAAGTGCAGTCACACGGGACGGTAATAACCAGATTTTCCCTTTTAGCTTTTAGATTCTGTGATAAAAAATGTTGTGAATTTGTGCTGGTTTATATCGAAGGTCAAGGAAGCATTGGATTATCTTCCTGTTCAGTATGTTATATTTGACCGACACGAAGGTATATTAAGCGAAGTGAACACCGTATTCCGTGGTGTTAGTTATGGCCATTGCATTTATCATATTTTTGGTAACACAAAACACAATTTCCGCGACTCTCAAAAATCATTGTCTTTGAAGTTTTATGGTGCTGCATATGTAGCATGTAAAGCAGAATGCTACCAGTATTTGCAATACTTAGAGTAAGATGATTCGTGTATTATACCACTAGTATTTTTTTGGGAAACGAGGCTTGGATAACGCAGCGGAAAACAAAAATTTATAGTCCAAAACTCGATTCCACCCAAGAACAACTTACGTTAATTACTAGTTATAGTAAGAAATTTACCTTAACGGTGAAAACGGAGAACGGAGGAACGGTCGGGGATGGTTTTGAGGAGATGAACGTAGCGCCAAACGTATGAAGCCTCCAACGTATCCACACGAACTTGCTCCGGAGTCCAAGATTAAACTTGTGCTAGCAAGTTTAATATAGGATAGTAAAAACTATAATAATACTACTTTGGGAGTAATAAATATATAGTAAAATATTTATCTTATAAATATTTCTTTATAATATTTTGTGTATATTTCTAACAATTTAGAAAAATAACTTTGAACACAAAATAGGATTTTTCTTCTCTCTTCCTTGTGATGGCCGAAACTCACTCTTGAAATGGGGTGGGATTTATTTCATTTTATAACACATTAATTAATGTAATATGCCATGAAGCTTCCTTGAGACATTAAGTTGTGATAATGAATTAATCAAAATGCAATGTCTCTAACCNTAGCATTAGTTATGAATCAAAGCATACGGCCCCACATATCAGAGAATGTAATAACTTCAAGTCTGAGGATAGTTATAGCAAGGTCGATTTGAGAATACTGATAAACACATTACTGTAGATCCATGCAGTATTCTCAAGATGGGTCAATCCAGTCACATATTATCAACATAATATGCACCTACGTACAGATTAAGATATCACAATACCTATAGTCTATGAGACGCAACTATCTCATCTCGTACGTACTAGTCTTGATACGTTATGACGTCCGTATTATCATAAAGTGCGACTAGGGATATTCTAGACACAGCCTTCGTCAAGAAGTAACAGTCTCATAATCAGAACATCGTAGTCCTCATCTATGTTACTGAAGCGCTATCGTCTATGGACTGAAGCTATGTTATGTTACACGAGATATAAAACATACTTCAAGGCCTTTCATTCATGATAAAGTGTATAATTACATAGGTATTTGATTGCCGCTAGGGCACCTAAATACAACATATTTAACCCGTGCAACGCACGATATTGAATGAATTTTTTGTCAATTCTGAATTTATTTTTAGTATAGTATTTTTCTGAAATAAAGAAAGTATAATTCTCACACGATTTTGAATACTATAGACAATAGCGCCAAAGTAGAATTAGGAATATTTGAGGAATTGAAAGTGTACATGACAAAGTTTTTATCTAGTCCAATTTTTTAAAAGACTTCAAGGTATATAACATTTCTGGTATGGATGTAAGAATTTTTATTGTTATTTAGAACTATTATTTTTAATCTTGTGTTTGTCTATACTTGTTAAACAACAACAAAAATGACTATGAATAAATACGGACTTGGTTAAAAAAATTCTAACAAAATTCAATGTTAGACATCGATTTTTGTTAATACTCATAGCAAAACATAAAATTTATGAAAATTATCTTCTCTAAAACTTCAGTGGTAGCCGCCCTAGATCAGATGATACCAACTTCAATCGGGGTATGTAAATCTTTTTCCCGATGTTATGAATGTGTACTTCATATCTTAGCGTCATAGCATATATACTGAGAGTTGAATCTTAAAATACAAATTATGGATTTTTTACTTTTATAAAAAATAAATTGAAACCTTTCTCAGTTTGTTCTTACATCCTTTGAATTTTATTTAAAGATTATGATTATTATGTTATTACGATGATGATGATGATGACAATTTGTATTATTATTTCTCTTATTTCTATTATTTATATTATTATTATTATTTATATTATTATTATTATTATTATTATTATAAAATAGAGTTCCAAACTCAAACTTACATTTTTCTTTTTTATCCAAGTCATGAATACTTAGTTCCAAACCCAAAAATAATTTTTAATTCTATAAAAATCAAGTTGATGACATTCTTAGTGCTAGAAGAATTATTTTTTCCGTAAATACTTTTTTCGGGTGGAGTTAAATCTTATAGTTCCACTTAACCAAACTTTTTGCAAATGACACTACAATAGTTCCACAAAAATTCTAAACCTATAGTTGAGATACCTTTTTGTTATACTATTATGCTTCCACATGAATGATAAACTCATTACTAAATTTTTTTGTTTTGTTGTTGTACTTGAATATATTACATGAACAAATCTATATGGAAAGTATAACTAATTCATTTGGTCTTTGCAAAAGGTTAGGGAATAAAATATTATTGATATCAAGTGCATTTTACATTTTGCTGTCAAGTAGTCAACTTTATACAATAACTATCAATGTGCACTAATAATTCATTACATTGTTGCTTTTCTCATTGCGTTGACAGCTACAAAGTTTCATCTTAGAGTAGATGCAGAAAATTTCTGTTCTAAAGAAGAATTCGTGGAACACATGAGTGTAAGGAAATCTAAAATCTAGCTTGACTTACACACTAATAAAAAAAATATAGGTGACTAAAGGGGAAATATGTTCTATTACATGGAGTTTTCCAAAGTTGCCTTTAAAGAGCATGCTAGCATTAGTGTTTTTCTCTAGAAGCTTCAAATCTTCATGACTTCAAACAACCATTGCTCACACACAACACTTCTGCAACCACCCTATTAATCTTCCGGTAAGTGTTATTTGACAATGGCCAGATAAGAACAAAGCATACAACCTGCCAATCATATTCTAGAGTAAAATGGAGCATATCAAGTAAAGAAATATTGTTGCATTTCTATTTGTCTGATTTTGAAAAGGAACTAAGCAAGCATTGTACACATATGTGAGAAGGCTAGAAAAATGATTTGATTATCACAAATAAACACTGATGTTGTGAAGTTTCACCCTTATTCAGGTAATTAGTGACTAAAATACATGCATCATTCTACATAGTACTACGAAGTCCTAAGAAAAGAATCCTCGGTTGAGGTAAGGGAGAGAAATAGATTTACAACAAGAGTTTATGAGATAAGGCACGACACGCAGGCCGTATTATAATCAAATAAACTATAGCCACAATTATCCACCATGCATATCATACATCCACACAAGCAATAGAGATATACATACACCGGGTGAACCGCGCTCACCCTAGACAGTTCTAGAAAAATACTACGGGAGTAAATATTTTCTAAAACTCATAAAATTAAATTAGATGTCCAAATAAATCTAATAAAATTTTATAAAATCATTTTATATACTCTAGATATTCTGCCAGCATAAAAAAAATATCCAGAATATTCCAAATGACCAAAATGCCCTTTTTGCAAAATTATATTCAAAAAGGCCATTAAAATTTTGAAACAATTTTGAAAAAATCATGAAAATTAAATTTCAACTTCCAGTAGTTATTTTTAACATTTATAAACCTGGAAATAAAATTTCCAAAATTTATAAATCATTATTTCCAAAATATATTAGTTAAATCTCAATAAGTTATAAAAAGCCATTTAAATTGATTTTGAAAATATTAAATTACAAAAACTTAATATTTTGAAAAACATTCTTTTTCTTACTGAGATATAACTTTCCAAAATATATATTAGTTATTTATGTAATTAAAATACAAATATATAAATATATATAATATTTCGGTAATAAAACCGAGTACATATATAAATACATATTTATTTAATTACTAACTAATATTATTTTGAACAATATATTTATCAACAACCTTATTCAACTTAGAAATAATATTTCCAAGTTTAATAAAGTTCATTTTGAATTTTCCCATATTTATTTTCGGTTTTCACCTAAATAAATACAATAAATTCAAAATAGGAAATAATACATTCAAAAATTACAATATAATTTTATCAATCATAAAATGATGTTTTATGTCCAAATAAAATTATATTTACTATTTCTACAATATATATAAATATATATTTCGAAAAATCAAAATATATATATTTATATATNATACAAATATATAAATATATATAATATTTCGGTAATAAAACCGAGTACATATATAAATATATATTTATTTAATTACTAACTAATATTATTTTGAACAATATATTTATCAACAACCTTATTCAACTTAGAAATAATATTTCCAAGTTTAATAAAGTTCATTTTGAATTTTCCCATATTTATTTTCGGTTTTCACCTAAATAAATACAATAAATTCAAAATAGGAAATAATACATTCAAAAATTACAATATAATTTTATCAATCATAAAATGATGTTTTATGTCCAAATAAAATTATATTTATTATTTCTACAATATATATAAATATATATTTCGAAAGTTCAATATATATATATATATTTATATATATATTACGGGTAGAAATAAAATAAATTAATTTAAAATTCATTTTCAATGATTTATTTAAGTCCAATACTTATTCCAAGACTAAATAAAATCATTTTACCAATTTTTGAATTTTAATAATTACCAAGTTAAAACTTTGACTTTTAAAATTTTAAAAGTCAAACGTAAAACTATAGTTTTGTACGTTGGCTTTGATACCACTGAAAGGTAACCATGCAAGGATAGGCAACGGAATATAAAAATTTTAACATCCTAACATGATTATCTTGCCCAGAATCACGTACTAAAACTTATAGTGAGTAAGAAATTTATACCTTTCTCCGTAAGCGGTAAAAACGAAGAAGTCATAGGAAGAGCGTTGAAAGTGCAAACGTAACCGTTCAAGCGCCCGGTCTCCAACTTTGACACACGAACAACGCCGGAGTCTAACACAATCTTTATGCTAGTAAAGATTATAGTAGTATAAAATATAAAGATTAAAATTGGGATAATAATAATCTTGTATATTTCTATAGAAAATATTTCTAATAATATTTAGAAAATATTATAGATATTTTCTATACACAAAATGATATTAATAGAACACAAAGTATTTTCTCTCACTAAAAATGTAATGGCCAAAACTTAAAATAAATTGATGATATCTCCTTCTCTTCTATGCTAATGGTGCGTGAGGTGTATATTTAAAACAAAGATATGATTAATTTTTTCATTAGCTAAATGACAAATAATTACCCCACTCAAAATTCAATCAAAGAAAATTGTGATTCTCCTCAATCCAAAATGGCCGAACAAATCCTTGTGATTGTGAGAAGGATTTTCAAAATTCTTCTCCACTCAAATGTTCAAAGTGTATTTTATTTGACACCAAAAATTAATATAAAATTAATTTTAAATCAAATAAAAATACCAATATCATTTTAAAACAAGTATACAAATATACTTTAAATAGTTTATGTCAAAATAATTATTTTCATAATTAAAATGACAAATCAAAATAAAATATTCAACATATAATATATATATATATATATATATATATATTAATCGGCACATATATATAATATATATAAACAAATATTTATATATATATATAATATTATATTCCAAAATATTTTACTTTACTGTTTATACAAATATACAAATTACTTATTATCCCATTGTTTAATCATACTCCTTAAATTGTCCAAAGTGTGCGATCCGTATAGGCACTTATAAAGCTGGCCACAGTATTGGCTCTGCACCAATACTATAAGCAATAAGCGGTATCTAGCAACACATAATTGCCCCTAGATTATAAGTTAAGACGTTTGCACCGTTAAAACCTTTCCACGACTCAAACTCCGTATAACTGTATCCCTTTGTCTCAATGTCTAAACTTAATGCAAGGGATTAATAAAATCCAGCTTGTATCCATTAAGTCATTCACTGATTTATCAAGTTTGACTAATAGGAACAGACGTCATAAAAACATCTCAGCATGGACTATGGACCAATGGTCGGAACCCTAGTTGTAAGCTGCATATAAACCCCATCCCTTCTAAAGGAAGGGGGAATCACGTTTTGAATCATATTCTAACTAGCACAATATTACTCTCAGTTTACTTGACCCCATATTTGTGCACTCTTGACTTAGTTCGATACTCTTCCGCCTAGTTTCCTAAGCCCCGGGTTCCTTAACCCAACATTGGTGATCTAGTTGAGAGTGTCAAACACATCAAGCGTACTCCAAGAAATGGTTGCGTCAAGAAGAGTGACTAGGTCATCTACCGCCAACGTCGGTGGTGGTCTCAGGATGACTGTCACGGCGCCGATCGGCGCACGACATGACGATTTGGACGTCAGCCTCAACGACGTCGCCAGCTAGAACACCACTGATCTACGTCACCGCATTCCCAGGCGGCAAACGACGAATGCTGGGGGGGTCTCAAGCACCAACCCAGCAGGTGTCTACCCAAGGCGCCGGCGTTCTGACTCAACCTTCTCCTAGCGGGCTCATGCGGGGAGGAGGCATGGTGTTGCCCGGTGACTTCAACTCACCGCTTTTCCAGTTTGGGGAGACCTACGGTGTGAGGGCCCTAGGCCTAGATTCCAACGGTTTTTGGGCCATGATGAGGGCGATGATGTTCAATCAGCCCATGACCGGTTTCCACATGTCGGTCATGATGCCGCACCCAACGTTCCAGCTTGAGGGACGTCGGGAAGTCCAGTAGAACGTGGTGGAAAGCGCAGAGCTTTTCTCCCAACATCTATAAAATCTGATGACGGACTCCCGCGTGAACCCTTCGGCGGGAGGACCCAAGAATAAGGAGTTGAGCCGCTCCTAGCAGCGGGGTAACGGCAAGGGCCCGGAGCGTAGGGCCAACAAGAAGCAAGCTAGCCGTCGAGACAAGGATACAGCAGGTAAACGCCATGAACCCCTGAAGGAAGGACAGTGTGAGAGTGAGTCGCACGTGTCCGTGTTCAGCCGGATGCGAGTGCCGGCCACGGGACGGTTGCATGGACGGCGGAATACCTTCCTGCACGACGGAGCAGGGAAGATCAGGATGCCCTGCAAAGAACAGTGTGACCGACACAGAGAGGTCCATCCGGAAAGGCCGAGTTCCCGGATCGAGCAGCCCATCCAGCATCCGATCTTGAGAGCGCCGCAGGGGGCGCCCAATGAGGTGGATGGGGGCGTAGGCAGGTCGGGGGACGAGCGCCTCGATTTTATCTTGCAAAGGCTTGACGCCTTAGAGAAAAGAAGCGGGCCGGGGCATGTGGCCAAACCTATGTTCAGACTCTGTTCCCCTTTCTCGGAGAGGATCTTGAGAGCACCTTTGCCGAATAGCTTCCAAATGCCACTGATACCGAGGTATGACGGAACTGCCGACCCGCATCAGCATTTCAACCGATACCAAACCCTCATGAACGTGGTGACGTTCTTAGAGGAGGTCCTTTGCAGATCGTTCCCCGCCACTCTCGACGGGTTGGCGTCTGAGTGGTTCAATGAACTACTTGAGGGGAAGATCGATTCTTGGGAAGATTTGGCGCAGAGGTTCCTCGTGCACTTCGCCGGCAACAAAACGAAGCTGCATTTCTCGCATCTCGTGTCAGTCAGACAAAGGCCAGACGAGCCGTTGAGGGAATTCCTAGCGAGGTGGAAGCTGGAAACCACCAGAGTTTACGAAGCAGATGACAAAACCAGGTTATCCACCTTTCATCTGGTCTTACGATCGGGTGACTTCTCCAAGCGTCTGGATTTGGAGAAGCCGAGGGAGTATGCCATCGCACTAGCCATGGCAGAGGACGAAGCCGACGCGGAAGAGTTGGAGGCAAACTAGAAAGGGCAGTGATCCGCGTGACCGACGATCCTTCGGAAAAGACGTGTACGAAGAGGGGGCCGAGGACAGAAAACCTTATCCCCCAAGGGTCCCAAGCTGTTATTTCCAGATGAGCTTACACCTCTTACACACCCCGTCAGCGCCATCCTAGATTTCGCCAAGCATCAAGGCTTGGTGGAATATGACCCGAGATTTCCTCCGATTTGCACCGTCGGTGAGGGTCCTTATTGCAGGTTTCACAAAGAGGCCGGCCATGACACAAACGCGTGTAAGGTCCTCAAGAGGGAGATCGAGAACTTGATCCAGGCTGGGTACCTAAGACAGTTCGTCAAGAAGAAGAACACCTGGCGTAAAGACGATGGAAAGAAGAATGTGGATAACCGAGGGAAGAAAGCGGCGGGAACCCAGCAGAAGAAGAGGAAGGAGATAGGCCTTCCGAGTGATGTAGAAGAAGAAACTAACCCTAGACAGAAGAGGGTTGAAGAGATCCGAATGATCTACGGTGGTAACACCAGAGGGGACAGTGCCGAGCAGAGGAAGAAATGGGTGTACTCGGCCTACGTCGGGGACGTTTGCAGCGCACCTGGACCGTCAAAAGTCACGAAGACAATGACCCTCCTCTTCGGTCCCAAGGATCTGCCTAAGATCCCATCCCCGCACAGAGATGCCATAGTTGTTATGTAACACCATAATCCGTCCAGGTCTGCAGCCCCTTTCGGACTAAAGTATTACTTTGGTAATCGTAAAATTTAAAACTTTTCAAACACTTTTATTTATCATAATAATATTTTTGATATCATGAACAGTACAGAGTTTCCAATATTGCGGAAGCTTAAAAAATTATAACCACAACATAATTTATTTGTATTCTTTAATTCAAAACCATCACATCCATTCCGACTATCTCGCCTCCGTCTGCCTCTAGGATCACGTCACATCATTCTATTGACCTGCGTGTAGCAAATAAAACACACTACACACTCAACAGTAAAGCTGAGTAAGCATATCTAATGCGTCGAACATCCATATAAACAGAAACTTAATTCATAATCAAATCATTTGATATCATGCACATAATGTCCAGTTCAGAGATTCAATCATCAATAATCGATTTTTCAACATTCATTATTCAATCATTCAATATGTATATTCATCATATAATATTCATCATATGTCATTCAACAATATCCTTAAACTATTCTTAGTCTAAGGCCAATCTATTTGATGCTTACCAACTCTTAAACTATTTCTAGTTTAACATAGTTAAACTATATTCAAGTTTAAGGTACTCTTATCTAACCCTTAAGCTAGGCATAGTTTAAGATATAAATTTTCGAAAGAGGTTTTCAAAATCTTAAACTTACCTTCGATTAAGGTCATCCAAAAACCGAACATCGGATCCGAAATGCTCACTGTCGGGTTGGGTGGTATCCCCAAACGAGTGCCTCAAGTTTGGTTTGTAGATCCCGTACGTACGTTTTAACCCAGGCCACCGAATACTCATGATTATACCCGCAAGGCCTATTTTTAAGCTATCTTAGAGGTCTTCTAGATAGTCTTAGAAACCAAAGTCAACCTAGGTATATCTTAGAGTTCTTCTAGATATCCTTACAATCCAAATCATTTCATAATCATCAACATATTCATTTCAATATATAATTTAATCCTTGATAATCATTTTAATCAGTGGTTTCATCAAGCCATAATCATCATAATAATCATTCATCATACTCATCAATCAACATAACATTTGATAACAAATAGCGGCCTAGCTTCGAGTGTTAACACCCGAACTTACCGTCATGCATCACATAACATTTTATTTGTCAAAAACATCATTTTTATTGTGGTAAATCATTTTTATAATGATCATAATCAATTAGTATAAAAAATAGGACTTTAGAGCTCAAAAATAGCATTTTCAGACAAATTTTCGGATCAGATTTTCGGGGGATCGATCCCGCCCTCTGGATCGATCCATACTATGAAAAATCACTCCCAGGGGATCGATCCAAGCCCCTGGATTGATTTAGATAGTGGGTTTCAGCTTACTGTTCATCTTCTTCAACCTTCGGCCCATTTTTCGGAAATCCCGTTTTTAGTCATCGAACTTCAACGAAACTATATAGAGATGTTATCTAAGGTTCATAGATCATTTTGGCATCATTAATTCGTAGTTTTAACATCAATTTCATGGTTTATGATTATTGGTTCTTCAAGCATGTCAAACACAAAACTCAACCAAACGACCGTTTATGAACGTAGAAACGATCTATACCAACATTCTAGTGATTAGATATATCAACGGGCTTACCTCGAAGAGTAAGGGAGGTTTTGAAGATTTTCCGGCGAAATTTCCGGCGACTCTATCTCACTGCTCCGGCGACTTCTCACAGAGTTGACAGCACTAGTGTATTCTCCACTCTTAGAACAACAGAATAGGATGAAGAATTATAGATTTTGGTGGAGAAATGGGAGAATTGGCTCTCCTTAAATAGGCCAGTAAAGAAGAAGAAGACACAGGTTTGCAGCTTCCGTGATTGAGCGGTGATTGGTATTTTGGAATCGGCGTAATTGAACAGGGCGCCGTTTGGTATGTAGTCCCTGATTGGGACTAATTTTGGTTCCAGTTGGGGTATACTTTTTGGTCCAACTTTCTCCGAATTGAAATCCATTTGCACCGTTGCGATCATGCAATTAAACTCTATCCAACGATATAATTTTTTACATTTATTTGTTATACTTTTTCCGACATCATATTTTTGGTGTTTGACTTTGACAGAGTCAAAATTGGTTTAATTGACCTTTATTCAAAAAGGTTCTCACATTTAATTCATATTATTTATTTCCATGATATATTTCAATAAATCATTTTAAAGTTCACATTTTAAACAATTTCTTCATTTATTCTTAATTTGGGTCTGTACTCAGGTTCCCAACCAAGATCACACAATAAGTCAACACGTTGGATTTATCTCTATGAGATTTATCCCAATTACGTTTATTGGATATCAATATATATTTTATTTTGGCCCAAAGCCCAACAATAATTTATTTTAATCAAAACAAATTTTGTTTAATTGAATATTTAATTTAATAAATTTTAGGGTATATTTTGGGGCGTTACACGTTAAGTGCGAGATCAATGAGGTGATAATTCACCGTTCCTACGTTGATAATGGGAGATCGGTCAACATCATGTATGTGAAGACATTTGAGGAGCTAGGTTGAAGAAAGAGCTCCTGAAAAGAGTAAGGACCCCCTTGTCCGGATTCACAGGAGACATCATCGATTCAGAGCGCCTGATCGAGGTGATGGTCACCTTTGGTGATGGGGAACACAAAAAGACCATTCCGGTCGAGTTCATGGTGGTGCGACTCCTTGGATCCCACAATCTGATTCTGGGCCAGCTTGCACTAGAAGATCTCGATTCTGTAACGTCTGTGAAATACCTATGCATGAAGTTCCCAACTGATTCGAGAGTGGGAGTGTGCAGAGGAAACCAGAAGCTTGCCCGGCTCAATTACCAAAAGCAGACGAAGAAGATGGATGCCTAAGATCTGAGGGTGGACACCATTGCTATGGCACTCTTGAAGGAAGAAGAAGGACTCCCTCGAGCCGAGCCGACCAAGGAAACAGAAGATGTGGTGATAATGGAGGATTAGCATGAGAAGAAGATCAAGCTTGGTATTAGCATCAGTGTCGAGCTACGATCGAAAATCATTCAAGTGCTCAGGGATAACTTTGTGGTGTTCGCATGGAGCGTGGAGGACATGCCCAGAGTTAGCAAGTCTCTGATCACTCACCGCCTCGCGGTGGGAGCGGATGCGGAACCCATAAAGTAGAGAAGGCGACACTTGAGCAAAGACCGGAGGGATTTTGTGAAGAAGGAAGTGGACATGCTCCAAGCTGTGGGGCATGTCAAAGAGATCAAATACCCCACCTAGCTGGCCAACGTCGTGTTGGCACCGAAGGGGCAGACGTTCAGGATGTGTGTGGATTACACTGATCTGAATTGAGCTTGTCCTATGGACCCCTTCCCTTTGCCTAACATCGATCAGATGATCAACGAGACGGCCGGGTGCGAGGTAATGTCTTTCATGGATGCATTCAGAAGATATCATCAAGTGTTCATGCACGAAGAGGATGCCGAGAAGATGGCATTCCTCACCCCAGAGGGGGTATATTGTTACATGGTGATGGCATTCAGATTGAAGAACAACGGGGCGACATACACGAGGATGGTCAGCCGAGTGTTCCACTCGGTCTTGGGAAAGACGATGGCAGCATACGTGGACGACATGATCGTCAAGAGCAAGCAGTCCTCCGACCATGCGGAGGACCTTTCCCAGGTTTTTTCCATTATGCGAAAGTTCAATTTACGTCTTAACCCCAAAAAATGCACATTTGGTGTAGAAGGTGACAAGTTCATAGGTTATCTCGTCAGTCGGCGAGGTATAGAGCCCAACCCGGAGAAGGTCCAGGCGATCTTAGATATGGAGGCTCCCCGTTCCATAAAGGAAGTGCAGCGTCTGGCAGGAAAGATGGCCGCACTCGGCCGATTTTTGTCAAAATCCGACGAGAAGAACATCCCCTTCTTCGGTACACTGAAGAAGGTCCCGCAGTTTCAATGGACACCCGAATGCCAAGTGGCGTTCGAAGAGTTGAAGAAGTATTAACTAACCCCGCAGGTGTTGGTGAAGCCAGTCAAGGGCGAGAAGCTATACCTCTATTTGGGCGTCAGCCCTGGAGCCATAAGCTCTGTCTTGTTACGAGGGGAAGGGGACACTCAACGCCCCATCTACTATGTCAGCAAAACCTTGAGGGATGCCGAGCTCAGATACTCGGTGGTAGAGAAAACAATCATGGCCGTCGTCAATACGGTCAAGAATCTAAACCATTATTTTCAAGCCCACGAAGTGGAGGTGAGGAGTCATCAACCTCTGAGCATCATCATCCGAAATCCAACCGCCTCTAACAGGGTCATCAAGTGGTCTGTCTACTTGAGCCAATATCAGATAGAGATGAAGCCGAGGACAGCAATCAAGGCCCTGGCCTTGGCCGATTTCATGGTGGAGTGCACGGCGCGGGACAACAATCCCACGCCCACGGCCGAGCAGGGCGAGTGGTGGACCTTGTCCACTGATGGATCATCCGCTGCAAAGGCTTGCGGTGGGAGCGTAGTAATCCAATCACCTGAAGGATTCCACTCATACCACACAATAAAATTCCAATTCAAAGTGTCCAAAAACGAAGCAGAATATGAAGCATTGTTGAGCGGCATGAGGATCATCCTCAACCTGAAGGCCGAGTACGTCAGGATCAGGTGCGATTCGTGCCTAGTCGTCAGTTAGATCAAGGGAGAGTTTGACACCAAGGAGGAGAAGATGCGCCTGTACAAAGAGGCAGCCCTGGAATTGCTCAAAATCCTCAAAGGATACGAGCTGGTGCAAATTCCTAGGGCGGAGAACACCGAGGCCGACGTCCTCTCCAAGTTGAGCAATGACAGCCCCGAGCACATCTCCAAGATGGCTCATGTAGAAGACCTGGGATCTCTAAGCATTCATGTGCAGCTCATTTTTGTTATCACTGAGGAAACTAGTGGTTGGATCACGGAGTTGATCCGATACAAGAAGGATGGAATTCTCCCTAGCGATGGGACGACGGCCCGATTGATCAAACGGAGGGCGCCGACGTACGTCATTGAGAATGGCCGACTGTACAAGAGATCGTACAACGGCAGACTGTTGAGATGCATTGACGAGGCCAGAGCAGGGTAGATCATGGAAGAAGTCCACAATGGAGTATGCGCAGCACACTAAGGTTCTTTCTCCATGGCTAGGCGCATAGTCCTGCAAGGATACTTCTGGCCGACCATGGTGAAGGACTGTGCCATGCGCGCTAAGCGTTGCAAAATGTGCCAATTTTCTAGAAAATCCCTTGAAGACCAGGAACGAGTTACCATCCCATCAGCTCATCAATTCCCTTTGCTCAATCGGGGATAGACCTGATCGGTCTGATGCTGAGGGCACTTGGCAATTTCCGTTGGATCATTGTGGCCATCGATTACTTCACAAAGTGGATCGAGGCCGAGCCCCCAGTGGGAGGAACCTCGGAACAATGCTCGAAATTTGTGAGCAACAACATACTCTGCCGGTATGGTGTCCCAAAGCAGATCACTACGGATAACGGAACCCAATTCGAGGCTAGAGATTTCAATGAACTTTTGGAAGATTGGAAGATAAGACACACCTACAGCTCTGTGGCTTACGGATGGGATCAAGAAGAGGCTTGAGTCCTATAAAGAAGCATGGGTGGACCAACTCCCCAACGTGTTATGGGCGTACCGCACCACTCCGAGGAGGGCGACGGGAGCCACACCGTTCTCCATGTGCTATGGCCTGGAGGCAAGAGCGCCCTCGGAAGTGTTCATCCCGACATGGAGGGAAGAAAATTATGAAGCTCAAGAAAATGAGGAAACCATGATGTCCGACCTCCATTTCATTGAAGAACGCCGGGAGCAAGCCTTCCTCAGAGCAGAGAATTACCAAAGGCAAGTCAAAGAGTATTACGACCGCAAGGTCAAGACAAGGGAATTCTGAGTAGGGGACTTGGTGCTTAGAAAGAGGGAAGCTAGACAGCCCATAGAAGGGGGAAAGTTCGCCAAAAGCTATGAAGGACCATACAAGGTCATAGCTGTGCTCAGGCCGGGCACCTACAAGCTCTCCACGCTTGAAGGTTGCGAACTCGGCTGGAACACGCACAATCTCATTTCCTTTTACATGTAATGCACTGAGAACCGTAACCAGTCGGCCTCGGTAGCAAAAAAAACTTTTACTTAATGAAATTCTCGCTTCCACGCGATATCTATTTTGCTTTACGTAATTTATAACGCTGCTTAGCGACATCGGGCTCCCACGCCACGATTTTGGCCTCACGCGGTCTTTCTCTTTACGCGAACAAAGTCTCTTAGTGCTCCCACACACACCACGAGAAATAAAATTTAACCGTCTTGCCACTCAGCAATGCCTATTGTCAAAGTGTCCCTTCAGGGTGGAGCCCAACCGCACGGTTTTACCCGGGGAATCGGCGCTCTGAACGAGACGAAGAACAAGGTCCGAATGGGCACAACTTGTTATTAGCACGAAGGGCAGCGCAAGGTCCTGCTTAGGACGGAAAACTTGCAATCCTGCTCAGGATGTCTTCCACGACCCTTAGTCCTGCTGAGGACACACCTTTTGCCGCCCTGTTGAGGGTGTGAGCGCAATAGAAACCCTTTGGGGTGCAAAAAAAAGAGAAAAAGAGAAGGAAAAGAAAATAAAACAGAGCATACAAGCAATCTCGTTACATAAAACACGCCTAAGGCAGTAATACATCATCATTTAAGCACAAGAATGTGAAGTACTGTTTCTCGAATGGTCAAAGTACACAGCCATTTCTTCAGAAAAGGAAGAATCTAAGGAGGATGCGTCATGGTCGGTCACAAACTGCGTTTTGAAGTTTGTGCTGATAGTCTTCTTGCGATGAGCATGGCGAAAGCCTTCGAGATAGGCGCGCACATCGGTGCCCACCTTGCGCACCAAACGGCGAGATCTCTTTGAAACCTCTACCACGGCAGGTTCTTGACGAAGACGACCTTGAATAGATTCCTCACTCGAGGAAGGGAGATCGGGATCAACGCATTTCCCCACCGCAGTTGGAGCAGTGGCGAAGCTGGGAAAAGCGGAATCCGCCATGAGAAACGAACATGGTGGAGTAGCCCGAACAAAGGATGTTCCTTCTTCAAGAGAAGGAGTACCGGGACTCAACGCCATATTGCAAAAGAGCAAGTAGAGAAAGAAGCGATGCATCATATTTATAATCAAAACAAGGCATTTATTATAAAGGCATTCATTGCACACAAAGTCAAACTCCATTACAAAGATATTCTCGAAAGCTACAACATTTATTACAAGCCCTACATACTACACTTGCGACACCAGCAACATTTATTACAAGGCGGAACTGAGAAGGAAAAGACCTAAAGTGCTCTACCCCCCGATGGACCTCCTTTTTCCCTGGTCTTAAAATCTATGGGGAGGTAGATGCGCCCCGTCCTAAGGCCCAGGCACCAAAGGACGTGGATGGCCCCCCAATTTTGCAAACCTCCATGGGAAGATATACAGGGGAGGGCCATGGAAGGGATATCTAGAAAGAGCCGACAGACTCTTCTGGGTGATCGTCACCCGCGGGGATGGCATCAGCAGCCGGCTGAGCAGCCTCAACAGGAGGCGCAGGCCGTTTAGGGACCCCGTGAAGGTAATTCATGAGTCTTTGTAGACATTCAATGCGCCTTTCCAGCCTCTTTGCACGGTACCACCATGAGCATGTACGCGATTCGGCGTCCTCCGCCAGAGAAGGAGGAGGACGACGGGCAATTTTTGGGTGAGAAGATGAGGGAACGGTTTCCCTAGAATTATTGGAAGCCATAGGAATGTCAACACAATTGGCGTAAGGAATGGGTGGTCTCACAACACAAGTGGAGGTTCAATTTATAGGCCCAAGAACAAAGAGATAAGATAGATGAACAGTCGCAGTGGCTGGAAGTGGAACCATTCGCAGTGACACGTGGGTAAAACAGTGCGGCGGTCCAGTGGTTAGGTCTGCTTACATGGGGAAGCCAAAGAGTCAGTTTCTCAAAAGGCGTAATTCAAATATATTCAAGTAAATAATGTCAGAAAAAAATCTATCCACTATTCACGCATGCAACGGAACAGTAGACAAATCTTGTTCATTACAATGGAAGACAAATACTTCGAAAAATTACAAAGAAAGCATTAAGGAAGAGCATCTAAGGGTTGCTCTTCGCCAGCGACGTCCGCACTCTCGTCCTTGCGCTCGGGCGTCCCAAAGTAATCCGGATTCTCCCCGATCTCGGCATTCAGGCTAGGGTCGTGCATGTCTGGGATATCACCGAAGAACGAGCTGGATCCCATGATAGACCCTAGTTTCGAGCCACTTCGTCCCCTCCGCTCCCATCTTCTTTATGCCGGCCTCGGTCCCAAGCCAGCTGTCATAGTAGTCAGCGAATTTTTCAAGGCAAGCCTCTTTGAAGGCCGGGGACTGAAGAAAGTCGGAGATGGCACGCTCCTTCTCAGCAACAGCTAGCTCCTTCTCAGCAAGGGCCCGATCTCGCTCAGCTTCCAGGGATCGCTGCGAGGAAACAGCCTCGGCAAGTTCAACATCCATCTCTGCTATGCGGCCCTTGGACTAACGCAGCCGCCCCTCGTGCTTGGCCATGGAAGCCATCATTTGGGACGACAGGATCTCGTCCTCGTCTTTCAGCGCCGCGGACAGAGATGAAACCTCGGCCTCGGCCTGCACATTCTCGTCAGATATTTCAAGGGAGGCGGGGCACTTCCCGTCCTAAGGAACGGCCGGACGTTTGGCCGATGGACTCTGAGTCAGAACCAAGTCCTGCTCGGACGCGGTCTCCTCCTCCTCGGTTTGGATGAGTTTTCTCTTCCTTTGGTTCCGAGTCGGAACCACTTCCCGGTCGGGGATGGTTGCGGCGGACCCTGACGTGTCTCCCGAGGGCGGCTTGCGATGAACCTCCTCTCCTCGGCCTTGGCTTTGGACTAACAGTTTGGCCGTCCGAACAACCTCTAATGGATGTATGTTTTCTGGCACGACAAAGAAAAGGTTAGAAAACTTGTCATTAAAAGAGTAAAAATCCTAAAGTGAAGGACAGACCTCTAGAAGGCTCCACATCAACAACGTCCTCGGAGTAGGATGGCTGTCCTGACTCTTCATCGGTCTCGACCTCCTCGTCCTCTTCCTCTTCCTTTTCCGCCGACTCCGGATCTTCTGGCCTCGAAGCACTTTCTTCAAGCCCATGCTAAGGACGACTGCCCAGCACGCCCTCGGTCAACTCGAACTGACGTTCGAGGGAGATAAGAATCCCCACCTTCGCAAGGTTCTGTTTCGTACACATCGCATATACGTGAGGCGTCTTGGGCCGGCACTCTTCCAGGAGTTTCTGCACATGCGCGAGAAGCTCCGGAGTGGGGTTAGAATGAGGATGTCGAATGAAAGTGTGACAGTCGGGAAACCTGGCTTGGAAAGGGTGCCGGTCCCTGGGAAAGCCATAGATGAAAACGAGCTTGGCCTTCTAGAGTTTCAGGGACGTATGGATGACAGCCATACCACACTCGGCTTGAGAAGAGACAACAGCATACGAGTTTCCCTCAAGTGCCCCGACCTTGGAAACCTTGAACATGTACCAAAACAAATTCAAGGAACATGGGACTCCCCTCAGGTGACACTTAATCAGGAAGATTGAGAAACAATAATAGGAGTGGGGACTAAGCTGGCCAGGCAGAAGACGGTAGAAGTTCAGAAATTGGACTATCAGGTCATGAGGAGGGAACTGAAGCACGTAACGCATAGACGCCACGTGCACCGCGACCTCGCCGTCAGGACTAGTCACGGAGAAAAAGTGATTGGTCGTGTGTGGTCGGCGCATGGAATAACCCTCCCCCACGAAGCGAAGAGTCTCGTCAAAATCAACATCTAACAGAAGACAACCAGTACTCGTGATCGATTGGACCCGTTTCCAACACGGTAACATGTAAGGATTTCCGGGTCTGGCCCTTAACAGTTTTCGATTTTTCCGATTTTTTCCCCCTTGGAGGCGGCGCCCGGGACGACGACGCTACAGTTACCGACGTGCGGAGAGGCACCGCACTCAAGACCCTAGAATAATCGATTCCTCCCATTAGACCGTCAGGGCGGAGGGAGGGATCTTGTCGGTACATTTCGTCAAAACAAACTGCCGCTGGGTCAACAACGGGGATGGAAGGAGTAGAATCAGAATACGCCATGAGAACGGGGAAGGATGAACTAACCTTCGGGTCAGACTACGACGGCGACGGTGAGTAAGCAGAGACGGTGAATGAGATCGACGACGAAAGTGCGGCGCAAAAACGACAAATGTGGAGAGGATTGGGAAAATTCTCGCCTTTATATGACTAAGGGATCTGACCCGATTCAATGAGAAGTCACAATTACGGAGGGACGTGGCGATCCCTCACGCGTACGATTGCGAATCATCACGAACGGCTGACAAAGGAACAGTAAGAGACGTTGCGTCTCCCAAACAGCGCAATCATGCCTCTTCAAAATCAAAGATGACACGTGTAAATCTTGCCAATTGGAACACTCCCCAACCCTCATCAACACTCAAGTTGGGCAGTGGGGGACTCCTATACACGGCCAAGATTTTTAAAATTCAAAATTCAAATTCCCAATTTTTTAGATTACTTCCCTCAGCTTCGCTACGCTCGGCCGAGGAAGTAGGGGACTCATGATGGATACCCGGGAATGGGGGTATCCAGCCCAACAGGAAGGCGGCCCAGCCCAACTTCGCTAAGGACCACCTCGGCAGCGGTACGCGCTCGGCCCCGGCAGGGTAGGTCATCCTTGGACCACCCCTGACCAGCCTTCCGCCAATAGACTTCCGAAGACAGGTCGTACACTCGGCCTTGGCCCTAGACAAGGAAGCTGACTGAAGTCAAGATCAAGGGGTTCACGATTAGATCCTTGCCATGCCTCTGGTAGAGTTGCTATAGCCACCCTACTTATAACCTATATTGTATAGCAATCCTAGGGTTAATGATGTGGTTGTACGCCGCTAGTGAACAACCCAATCTCAGTGGGCCCAGACCGTCGGACTATGGACCAATGGTCGGAACCCTAGTTGTAAGCTGCATATAAACCCCTTCCCTTCTAAAGGAATGGGGACTCACGTTCTCAATCATATTCTAACTAGCACAATATTACTCTCAGTTTACTTGACCCCATATTTGTGCACTCTCGACTTAGTTCCATACTCTTCTGCCTAGTTTCCTTGGCCCCGGGTTCCTTAACCCAACATAAGCGTTTAGGTAACTTATCAATATGAATCTCCTTCATATTAAGGGTCGGTTCCGTAGGACTTATTTTTTCTACTTATTACTTATTCTTAATAAAATTAGATCAGACCTCATCAGATCAGACCAGATCCATCAGATCAGATCAAAATCAATCAGATCAGATTTAATCAGATCATATCAGACCAGATTCAATCAGATCAGATCTATTCAGACCAGATCCATTTATAATTTTCAAGGATTAAATAATGAATACTATTTGTTGATTAAATCACATTACTTTATTTAAAGTTATACACGCCTAAATCTTACTACATCCGTCCCGCTATATTCGTCCACTTTTGACTTTTGGAATTGCTCATCTAAACACTTTAATTCATTAAATTCTCTCAATGTGTAAGCCTAAATATAGTCATGTGTGCTTTTGTTTGATTTGTCTTAACATATAGATTATTAATATATAATTTTTATAATTTTTTAATAATATACAAATTACAAGATAAAATAGATTACAAAAGTGTATTGGATGATGTGTAAAAATGAAAGTGAACAAATACTCTAGGATGGAGGGAGTAATTGATATTATTATTGTTGTTGTTGTTGTTGTTGTTGTTGTTGTTGTTATTATTATTATATTTCAACTACAAACCATTATTTTTAATAATTGCTTAGCTTGTAGGAATGATGCATGGAAGCAATTTTAAGCTTAAAAAGTTGTATTTTTCATACTTTAAAAAAGAGTTATTTTAAAATATTTTTTTATAAAATAATTATACAAAACTTAGTTTTCAAAACCATAAATATGTTATACTTAAAAAGACTTACTTTTAAACTTTAAGATAGTATAATATATATACAAGGGTGAGTTATGATTAAATTGATATAGGTAAAAGGAATATTAGTGTTTATGATTTTATATGCATATAGAATGTATATTTTTGTATAATAGCATCTATGTTTTCTAATATTTGGTTATTTTATTTCCGATTATTTAGTTTTCACAAAAATTCAAAAAGTAGTGATATTGAAAAGATGTTTAACATTTCAAAAAAAATTAAATATATTAATGATTAGCTGATTTTCTTATTTTACTTTTTTTTATGTATATATGAATTGTAGTACTCTAAAAGTATTAAATTTTGTAATAATTTTAAGTTTAATTTAAATCAAATTTAAATTCATTTACACAAATATTGATTAGAAAAAATCAGATTAAATCAGATCAATCAGATTAGATCAGATTTAATAAGATTAGATCAGACTGAATCAGATCAGATCAGACCCAATCAGATCAAATCAGACCCAATCAGACCAGATCAGATCCAATCAAATCAAATCATACGCAATCAGATCAGACCCAATCAGATCAAAACTTCAAAAATTTAGATCAAATTCAATTAGATGAGCATACGAAACAAAGCCTATATCAATATCAAGCAATGGTTGAGGGCTTCGTTGAGGGCTATGTCCCACTTCACGCAATTTTTTTTTGGATTATGCTATGTGTACCCCAAGATTTGTACCCCAATTTGTACCCTGCAATTTTGCACCAATATTTTGTGTTGGTGTAAAACTAATTTTTGTTAAACGCACCAACATTTGTGTCCGTGTGAATTTTTATTAACGCACCAACACTTGTGTCGGTGTAAACCATCGAAATGTTTGTGCAAACCTATGGTGTACAAATGAGGTATATTTTTTGGTGTAAGTGTATCATGGTCCTTCTTTTTTAGATGGGTCATGCTACACTTACATCACATATTGTACCCCATTTATACACCGCAGGCATACACAAACATTTTGATGGTTTGCACCGACACAAGTGTTGGTGCGTTAACAAAAATTTACACGGATACAAAATGTTTGTGCATTAACAAAAATTAGTTTTACACTAATACAAAATGTTGGTGCAAACCTACGCAGTACAAAGTGGGGTACAAAAACATGGGGTACAAGTAGCTTTATCCTTTTTAGATTGAGAGCATTCTCATAAATTCCAAACTTCTATGTCCTTTCCCATAAATTCTACACATAGACGGCTAGACCCGGAATGAGCGGCTCTTCAAAAATTTCAAAAAAGCATCGTTCCCATCCCCCGCTCCCAAATTTCAGATCCCTCCGACAAGAGAAACTCAGACGCTATCGCCCCGCACAGTGCTCTTAAAATCAACTGTCAAGCAGCACGTATTCAACTTCTGCGAGAATGTCGAGTCGGCATGATAAAGAGAAAGGTGTGAATGTTCAGGTTCTTCTTCGTTGCAGGTATTGCAACTTGCATTCATACACATACACACCCGCTCGTTAGTTTGATATTTCGTTTTTTTCCTCTTATTGCTTGAGTAAATCGAATTTGCAACTCCTGATGTGAGGGAGGATGGAAAATTGCTTCGAATTTTTTATTAATATTTGTTTTGTGGGGGTTTTGTAGGCCATTTAGCGAGGATGAGTTGAGGAACAATGCACCGCAGGTGGTGACCTGCAATGACCACCAGAGAGAAGTGTCAGTTTCACAGAACATTGCTGGGAAGCACATCGATAGGGTTTTTATGTTTGACAAGGTAAGATTTCACTGGAAATGAGACCTGTTATAGTTCTACGTTTCAGGGTCAAAGAATTCCCTTTATTTCTATTATTTTGTATGGTCCTGGTTCTGACTCCTTCACACACAGGTTTTTGGTCCATCTGCTCAGCAAAAAGATCTTTACGACCAAGCAATTATTCCTATTGTAAATGAAGTTTTGGAGGGTTTCAACTGCACCATTTTTGCATATGGTCAAACTGGCACAGGGAAAACTTATACAATGGAGGGCGATTGTAAGAAATCTAAGGTAATACTTGGTATTTTAAATTTTAAATCATTATATGATTGGGTAGCTCAAGAAAAAAAATTGTTTGAGCCAAGACTTAAGAAATTAAAGATCGAATTGTTTACAATTTAAATCTAATGCTTTTGTTTCGGCTTCAAATCTTTAACGCCTTTCTTGTGCTTTTGGTCTCTCCATAAAGTCTTTGTCATCACCTTCGAGTTTTTATCACTTCATTCCATATCCACGAGGGTTTGTCAATATAAAAAAAATGCCAAGGTAAAAGCATATTTCAACAATTTTCGGCTTTTTGATAATGACAAACCAAGGCGGGGATATGCAAGCAAGGTTGGGTTTAAAAATGAGAGTCATTCTTCCTATATCTTTTGAAAACATGATTCCCCCTCACTTGTTACATATGCCCAACAACACTTCCCTCTTTTGGCATTAGCAAAAGGCACATACTAAAAAGTACTACTTAATTAAAAGGGAAAGGCGGATTGCTCATCTGTCGCATCAAAGGGCTAATAAGCAGACGTTAAGACAATTGTGGAAGGAAAATAAAAAACATGCCAAAGCCTGTCCACACTTGGTGCAATACTTTTGCATGCTCTAATAAAATTTACCAAGTAAAAAGGACAAAAGTTTTGTAGTCCGTGATGACAGGTGTATCACCATATCTGTGAAGTAATAAACTGTCCCCCCCTGAACTTAGAGTAGTACTGGGTATGTACCTGAAAACAATAAATTATGTCTTAATCTTTATCAGGTGTAAGACTGGATTTTAGGATACTTTTTCTTGTTACAATCATTACTATACATCTTACGTGTGAAAAAGAAAAATATTTTTTGGATGCATCCGTCATGTTTTACGTTTATCATTAAATATTTATGATGTGCTTTGATTCTAGGCCACAAGTGACTTAAGTGCTCATAAGGGAACAAAAAGATTCACTGTTATTGGCTTTGGGGTGTGATGAGATAAAGAGAAATGGTTCTTTAAACTTTCAGCACTTTTTATAGTGAAGTAGCAAAATGATTCCCCATACCCTGTTGTTGCGGGATTTCCACTGGGTTGTTGTTTGTTGTAGCGGTTAGTCAATGCAACTCTCGACATTCATCATGGGTCATTGGGAAACAGTCGCTTTATGTTTTAAACATAGAGGTCCGGGTGCTTAGTGCTTACATCTGACCCCCTTACCCCACATTGGGTGAAAGCCTTTGAGGCACTGGGGTAATGTTGTTCTTGTTGATATGCTTGGGTAGCTTAAGTCAAACATTGTTGATGTTGGTGTTGCTTTATGAAACAGAGTGCGCAAAATGGAGAGCTGCCTGTTGGGGCAGGAGTCATACCTAGAGCTGTGAAGCAAATTTTTGACACTCTTGAGAGTCAAAATGCCGAGTACAGTGTGAAAGTAACTTTTTTGGAGCTGTACAATGAAGAAATTACAGACCTGTTAGCTCCTGAGGACTTGTCAAAGGTTGCTTTGGAGGACAGACAGAAAAAACAATTGCCGCTCATGGAAGATGGAAAGGGTGGAGTTCTTGTGAGAGGTCTTGAAGAGGAGATTGTCACTAGTGCTAGTGAGATATTCACTTTAATCGAAAGGGGCTCAGCAAAACGGCGTACAGCGGAAACCTTATTAAATAAACAGTCAAGGTTATTTTTGTTAAGAACTCTTGTTTTTTATATGGATTCCAGAATCTGTATTGATATATTTATTCAATTTTCAGTCGATCACATTCGCTTTTCTCCATAACTATACACATCAAGGAAGCAACTCCTGAAGGTGAAGAACTTATAAAATGTGGGAAGCTGAATTTAGTTGATTTGGCTGGGTCAGAGAACATTTCTCGTTCTGGTGCCAGGGAGGTAAAGTTTTTAAAGCATTAGAAGTTGTAAATACCGACTCACATTTTTTTGAATTAAGCATAATTGATAATTTACATTGTTCCTTTGTCCCTCCCTTTATATTGAAAGTTCTACCTTTTCTGTATTAACTAGGGTCGTGCAAGAGAAGCTGGAGAGATAAATAAAAGTTTACTGACCCTAGGGAGAGTTATTAGTGCTCTTGTGGAGCACTTGGGACATGTCCCCTACAGGTACAACCTATTTGTAACTCTTCATATTATATTATCAATCTCTCTATTAGTTTTGTTTCTATTTATATTGTTGTGTTACACCCCAGGGACAGTAAGCTCACGAGACTGCTTCGAGATTCTCTTGGAGGGAGAACAAAGACATGCATAATTGCCACGGTGTCACCTGCTGTTCATTGTCTTGAAGAGACCTTGAGCACTCTAGATTATGCACATAGGGCAAAAAATATAAAGAATAAGCCCGAGGTTTGAAATGTACATGCTTTCTTTAAGTTATGCTTACATACATATTCGACAACGAAACCTATTTCTTTTTTTTGTCCCATTATTGCAGCATTCTCAATAAATTTAATGGACATTCTTATAAGTTTGTTGGTGAAAGGATTAAGCTTGTGCTGAAATTTGTGTGTTATATGTTTATTCTTCTGCACCCCAATGCAACCTAATATTTTAATGTAATATTATTTTCCAGTTTCCAAGCATGGAACAGTTCTAAGTAAAACAATTTATGTCTATGACATTGGTGGCAGGCGATGCTTCTCTTTCTATCTCATATGCTTTAATGTTTATGTTTTCCTGTAGGTAAATCAAAAATTGATGAAGTCAACTCTTATCAAGGATCTTTATGGGGAAATTGAACGGCTTAAATCAGGTAATAGCATTGCTTATCACTTCTAAGATCACTATCGCTGATCTATATCATAATTTAAAGGCATCATGTTCATGTCATGGGCTCATGGCTATAATTTTTTTACTCCACTATTTCTTTGTAGAGGTTTATGCTGCCCGTGAAAAGAATGGTGTCTACATACCAAAAGAGCGATACTATCAAGAGGAGAGTGAGAGAAAGGTACCTCTATTTAGGTTCACCACTTCGTACCTTTTCTCATTTAATAAGCACTAGTGTTTACAAATTTTATGTTTGTCTTGACTGGTGTTTCTTTTGAGACATTTTACATCCCAATGTAGAAATCTGCAGTCTGCTCCTTTTTTGTTAGGTTCTTTTGCATTAGTTCTGATGTTGTAATGTGTTAGCATGCCATTTATATATTGTATGATGTTGGTTTTTGTGTTCTACTTTTGTATGATGGTGGCTCACTATATATATAGGCAATGGCAGATCAGACCGAGCAGATGACTTCAAATTTAGTGAACCAGCAGAAGGTCTTTTATATGTCTTCCAAACTTTGCTCTAATATATGCTTGTTTTAAGGAAATTAAGTGGTCTTATGACGCACTGTCAAAAAAAGTGGTCTTATGATGCTGTTTGTCATAACATGCAGCAATTTGAGGACTTGCAAGGGAAATATGATGCTGAAGTTCAACGATGCTCTGATCTGACCAATAAACTTGATGCAATGCGGGTGTGCCTATTTATTTTCTTGCATTAGTATTTACTAGTTTCTAAATCTTGTTGGATTCTTACTTTGGAAGCATTTTCCAGAAAGATTTGAACCAAACAAGTAAATTGCTGGTTAATGCGGAGGAAGAATTGGGGCAATGCCAGTATGCCCTCAAGGAAAGAGACTTTGTGATATCTGAACAGAGAAAAGCTGGTATGCTAGAGGAAAATATGGGCTCTGAAGTTCCTTGTTTTTAGTGATTTTTAAAAATCCTTTTATTGGACATTTTCAGAGAATGCACTTGCTCATCAAGCATGTGTTTTGCGTGCTGACTTGGAAAAAGCTGTCCTAGACAATTCATCACTTTTTCAAAAAATAGGTACACCCAGTTTTTTTCCTTTCAATCCAGTTTTAGTTATCAACTCTGCAACTAATTAATAGTTTCCTAATGTGATATTATGCAGCAAAAGAGGACAGACTAAGTGCTGACAACAGGTCAGTGGTAAACAGCTTCCAATCTGAGCTTGGTAGTCAACTTGGTTGTCTTTCCAGCACAGTGACTGCATCAATTTCTAGGCAAAATGAACAGATCAGAGGCGTTGAAAATTTTTGTCGTGCTTTCCTTGAATTACACGAGAAGGTAATTTGCAGCTGCCAACGGCACTCATTTGAGTTGTTCCATGTTTTATTTGTTTAATACATTTTTATCCAATTTTTGTGTTGTTGCTCTGCTTCAGATTAGGCTCAAGTTATTTGTTTCATTTTTTATTTCTTTGAATGTTTTATTTTAGTCTATGTTAGAAGTGAAGAAGAAGGTCACTTGCTCAAAGGCATTGTATATCTCTCACTTTGAAGCCATGCAAAATGTAGTGAGGCTTCATAAAGCTAGCTCTATTTCAGCACTTGATGATATAAATGCTTTGGTATCTTCAAATTCACAGTCCATTAGTGAAGTAAGGAGCACCACATCCTTTTATTCAAGAAGACTGAGCATTATAAATATAAGCAAATGCATGTTCTTACCTTTTCCCTGCTGCAGTTTTTAGCAACAGAAGCTATTAAAGCAAACAGAATTTTCAATGATCTACATACCAGTTTGTCAACCCAACAGAATGAAATGGCAGATTTCACTAGGGAGCTTCGTAAGGTAAGTATGATGATTTATATCTCTGAAGAACACGCACAGATTTATCTTAGTTGGGGATGATCACATCAGGAAATATCTATTTATATCCCCCTAATTATAGTTATGACTACTACAGTGTTTTTATTTTGTCATTATGAGCAATTAATGCATGTCTATTGATTTTGTGTTCAATAGAGGTTTCAAATCAGCACACAACAATTGACAAACATCTCAGAGAACATTCAAGAGTTCCTTGATAAACTCATTGATGAATCAAAGAGTCTTGGGGAACATGCAACTAAGTTTGAAGACGACCAAAAGAAATCTATTGCTGAATTTAAGAAGGCGTTTGAGGTATACTCTTAATCACTATGCAAAAGTTATATAACACAATAAGGTACACATTTGAGATTGTCATATGCACGTGTTGTAGGAACAATCAAAATCTGACACAGAAAAACTAATTGCTGACATGCACTCTCTGGTATCCAATCACATGCGTCGGCAGAGAGAACTGGTCAGATTTTAATTTTATTTTGGTTGCCATATTGCATTTCCCTCTCCATTCACTCATTTATATGATCAATTTACAGGTAGATGAAAGGCTTTTGAGTTTCAATGAAGATGTTAGCAGAAACAAGTCATCATTAGATGAACATATTTTCTCTATAGAGGGTATCAATGTAGATGCCAAAAGAAAATGGATTGACTTTTTCACTCAAGCCGGGGATCACACCAAAGATGATGCTGATTTCTCTGCTGCTAAGCATTGTCGAATGGAAAGACTCATGCAAGAGTGGTAAGAATGGGCAGCCATACTCATCCTATTTGTTTGGCATTTTGTGTGTATGTGCCTGTGAGTGTGTATGTGTCTACACACGCACACACACACACACGCACACACACACATCATGTTTTAAGCCTATGTATTACATTAAGTTTTACTCGGTATTTTAATGGATGAAATAACCAACGACCTTGGATTTTTGTAAAATTTTAGAATGATGATCTATGTGTTAGTAACTCTCAATCCTACAGTGGGTTTCACAAAAAGTAATCTAATTGGAAGATAGGAGTGTGTGTGTGTACAGATTGATTGGTCTTCTTTATGTGGATTGTGGTGTGGCTAAATATCGGTAAAATCCTTTTTTCCATCTGCTATTTTACAGTGTTAGCAATGCTGAGACAGCTTTTAAGGTATGCCAAAGTACACATGAATCTATTAATTCCATGGGAAGCCAACACATCTCAACAGTGCATTCACTGGTTAGGTACATTTTGTTACTCCTCTTAGTTCCGCAAAAAGATGGTTTTATGAATGCTGCTAAACACAACTTTGCTGTTTAGGCATGAATTTCAGTTATTTATACGATCCTTTTTCTTCTCTGTAGGAATATATCTGAAAGTAACGATAACCATGTGACTGAGTTTGGCTCCACAAAAGATGCTGCCGAGAAAGATGTGAAAATAAATAGTGAAAATATTATTGAGCTCATTGATGGTAAATATTGCCTCGTCTTCTGAAAAAAAATGCTTCCCTGCTGGTTATTGTTTCAATGTCATTTCTTGTGATTGTTTTAATTTCTATCCTCAGGCTTGTCAGGGCAAGAGAAAAGTTCTATATCAAATATTTTGGGAACTGCAACTGCACAATCTCAAATATTAGATGAACTCCTAAAAGGTCACTCTATGCAGTGCACCTCTATTGAGAAGGAGGCATGTGAAACTTTCCAGCAGAAATATATGGTACGCCAGAATGCGAGATGTTGTGATTTTGATTAGTTAATCCTATATGTAGTATCTTTGCCAATGAATGCTGCTTAAATGTATGGTCAGGACTATGAGCCGAGCGGGAATACCCCAACACGGAGTGAGTCTGATGTTCCAAGCAAGGGGAATATTGAATCACTCCGTGTAATGCCAATGGAGGTTCTCGTAGAAGAATTCCGGGAAAATCATTCATATGACTCCTTCAAAGGGAAGGAACCAAAGCCATCACTCATTCCACGGTCTCCTCTTTCTCACATCAACCACTAGGAGGCCCTGCATTTGTATTTCCATATGTTGTAGTTTCGTCAATTTGATTGAATCTTTTCTTGGGATTCCCATGGGAAAGATGTCTCTGTAGTCTGTATATTAAGAAAAGATAGAGAATGCTACGTGAAGCATTACAATATAGTTCTAGGGCATCTGCTAGGGCATCCCCCATTTATGTAAAATCAAAAAGGTTTCTGTTACAGGAAATCTGCATTTTCTATTTTTTCTTTCCATTATGTAACGAATACTGTTATGAAGTTGCATTTTCAGTACCATGTATGGTATATCACATGGACGGTTGCCCCCAAATCAGCTTAGCAACAATGCACTAAAATCCCACAACAATAGGAGGGTAAGGAGAAGGTGGGATAAGATATTAGATGTCTTTGGGGAAAATGTTAGAGCTTAGTGTTTTAGATGTTAGCATTAGAGTTAGTGATTATCATTTTGATTTATCATTTGGTAATTGGATACTTTAAAAAGCTACTCTGTAACAATTTTCAAATGACTAAGATATCCAATCGAACCTGTAACAATAAGTATTAGTTGAGTTTTCTTTGGTATGTTACTTTTTGTTTTACATTTGTTATACTTCAGAGTAATATTTTGTACTTGCAGTGTCCTAGCAAAACTCTTTTGTTTGAACTTTTTTATTGTTAAACTAGGCCTAGCTTAAGGGTTAGTTAGGAACATTCTAAACTAGAATTAAAGTGGCCTTAGACTAAGAATAGTTTAAGAGCATTGTTATGATTTGGCCTTAGTTTAGAATAAGTTAAGAGACATTATTTTTGATAAAACTTGATATGAAATTATGTGTGTCAAATGATGCATATTATTGTGATAATAAAAGTGACATGTGATTATTGTAAATTGTGGATTAATTCCTATATAAGTTTGAATGATGTTGTTAATTATCATTGTTAAAATAACAAAGACAGATTTTAATATGAAAAGCGAATAATTGAACATATATGTGATTGGTATTGTTTCAGAAATTATTCTATGAATTCTTTTGTTGTGCCATGGTACCACTCAGCTTCATTGTTGAGCGTGTAGACTTTTTCATCTTTCTACACGTAGTTATGAGAGACAATAAATGTGGAATCTATTCTGGAGATTACTGAGATGGAGGTGATGCGTGGACGTGCACAAATATATTATTTAAGTAAATGATTTTATCACATTGTTGATCATATCGTTTTAGTTTGTAAATTGCTTTTGCACTGTTTTAAATAATTTTATTCCGATGTAATTATGAAATATTTTGTACAATTGTTTGAAATAAAGTTTTTAAATATTTGAAATTTTTACGTTATCAAATTAATATTTTAGTTCGAAAGGGGCTGCAGACATGGACGGATTAGGGTGCTATATTTTATTTGCTAAAGGCTCATGGTATGAACAATCTTATTACTGTTACTACACTCTGTCTGCTCAAGAACAAATTGAAGCAAACATAGTGGAAATTCAAGAAAGGTCAAAACTTCTTGAATCAGTGTGGTAGGAAAATGAGTTTGAAAGGATACTCTGCGAAGGATCATAGCTGATGTAGAAAATGCTTGAAGACTTCCAAAGAGAGAGACTAGAAGTAGAGCTACGAGCTGATAAATTAGTCGATGACCTTTGAAAGGCTATTGAGCATAAACCCTCCCTCCAACCTCAAGATCCACAATTGGGGGAAGTTATTGCTCAAGAGGAGGATCTAGAACCTAAGGCCAACTCATAATCGATCAATCATCGGGTTCCGGTTCTAGAAGATTCACCCAGACCAACACTATCACATAAATCCAAGGGCTTTACAACTCTTCTAATGCTCGCTTGAGCTACTATGGTAATGTTACCTGCCTCATAGCCAAGTCCCAACCAGTAAAGTCGTACCTGAGGTAGAACCATCTGAGGGACCTGACTCAGAACCACCTACGCTCACTCAAGAAAAGAAGGAGGATGAAGTAGTTTTGTTTATGGAAATAAAAGACCATCACCTTAATTGTGTTGAAGACACACCTCAAGAGGAACCTGTTCTGGAGGAAATAGAGCACACTCCTACCCCCAAGACTCCAATGTTCAAGAGCCCGAGGAGGAATCTACAGGTGAGGAAATACTCTGCACATAAAGGCCAAATCCCTCCATAGAAACTTGTACAAATAATGCTTCATTAGAAGATTCCGACCAAATTTCTTTGACTCGTACTTGACGGATGTGACAATGTTTACCCAAAGGATAGTTTGAGCCAAATAAGTTGGGACAATTTTTTTTATGAGTGACACTGAAGATTCTTCCCTAGGGATAAGTACAGTCGGAATCATCAAGACATAATTAGATAGTCAGCCCGTTGAAGATAAGGAAGAAATCAATCTTACAATCAAGGCCAAAGATGTGGATCTATTAGGGAGACTCCCACCACCACCCACCTATCTAGAGTCTCCTCCCTATATCCTATTGCCACCAACCCGCAGGGTTGAGTCAATGATCCTAGACCACGACCGAGCAAAATATCAAACAAGGTGGAATCAGAAAAGAGTCAAACGGGCTAAAATTTATGACTCTTAGATCGGGAAGTCATAGAAAAAATGAGTGAGCGCCAAGCTACGGGCGTTAAAGAAGCACTTAACGAGAGGAAACCCGTCATTCATAAAAATATTTTAATGCTTTTTAGGTTATGCTTGTTGCACCAAAGTGTAGGGATTGAATGTGGTTAGGCCGAATTTAGGAAGGGAGTTGGGGAAGTGTGTATGGTCCTTGAGAGATGAGCAACAACTAGCTTTGATACCAAAGTGATGTACCCAAGCTTAGGAAAGGCTATGAGTATATAAGGGCAGATTCTAGAGGGGAATATATGGTGAAGAAAAGGTGGGATCCATGTATGAAATGGTGAAGAAAGTATGATTGTTTAGAAAAGGTGATAGGGCCGAATGAAGGGCAGGAGAAAGGTAATGTTATGGAGTGGTTTTTTATGAAGAAATGAAGTGTTTAAATAAGAAGAAAGGGGATGGATGAAATTGGGAGATAAAGAGAGAGTTCTTTTGTGTTTTTGTTGTATAAGGATAAACCAAATAATGAATAAGAGATAAACACACACTTATTTTATTTGGGACTGTTTCTTTTCACACAATAATACTCACTATTACTATGTGAAATAGACTTCTAACACACACCCAAAAGTAGCCAACTTTAGAGATATTTGATTAGGAAATTGAGAGCATTATCTTTACATTAACTCAAATATTACTTCAAAGAGTAAAGAAATGGAATACAATGAATGTTTTCTACAAGGCCATATGGCCGAAATATATAGGGAAAAACAACAAGAAAACTTCACACATTTTTCCTACAATTCAAGTGCATAATATCTATTTGATTGATCCCACTTAGCTAGGTTTTCCTCATTGATCAAGGTTAAGAGGGGTTCAAGGTGGTGAAATGGGCCGTCTTTGGGTGGTGAATTTCGGCCATGTGGGGGAAGTGTGTGGGAGTGTGTCATTTTGTCCATTTATACAAAGTAAGGTATATGACACATCAAGGGATTTGTTATTTATTCCTTTGGCCTCATTATAGATTTGAGAAGTGATTTAGGGGATGTTTGGGGGGAGGAATTCGGCCATGGGACAAAGAAATGTGAGGGGGAGTGGTTTTGAGTGAATTTCACACTAGGACAAAAGACATGTTTATTCCTTTTCTCCTGATTTGGTCTTTTGTGTTTTGTAATGGATTGAGATGGATGGGGGGTGGATTCTAAGGCCAAAAGGGGGTGTTTTTTCATGGGTTTGAAGTAGGAAAAGGTGGGGGAAAGTTTTATTCAATGTAGGGAATATTAAAAAAGAAAACAACACACGCAAAGCAATTTTGTTTGCCCTTGTCTCTTGGATTTTCGACCATGGCATCAAAGGGAGGTGAAGGACTTTGGTTATTAAAAGAAAATTAAATACTTTTGGATATATGGGAGTGTGTTGGGCTTGTGGGCATTTCTGTTAGAATAAGTGCCCTTCACTAGAGGGGGGTTGAATAGTGAGGCACGAAAATGTTTATAAATTTTCGCGGAATAAAAATTTGCAGGGATAAAGTAAAGAGTGGAATAAAAAACGTAAAGGGAGCGCTCCAAGATTTATACTGGTCCACAACGTGTGGTTAGTCCAGTCTCCCGAGAGACTCTCTCGAGCTACACAACTTCCGTTAAGCTTACGGGTGCTTAACAAACCATTACAACCTGAGAACTTGACTCCCAAGAGCCTCAATACACTTGCTCGGAGATACCGTACTCCAAGACTTCAACCCAAAGGAATATGCCCTTCTTTCGTACAACCAAGGGAAACAAGCTTTTCTTAACATGTATACAACACTTAAAACACTCAAGAACAAGTACTCTCTTTTAGAGTGGATACTGAGAAAAATATATACGCTCAAGAACAACTAAAACTTCACACAATTTGACTCTAGAAATCTATGGAAAAGGTGTTATATGAATGCAATGATAAAGTGTGTAATGTGAAGTGAATTTATGTGTAATGTAGACTCAAACACCCTATTTATAGTGCTAAAATAGGCTCCAACGGATCAAAACATTTAAAGGTTGATTAGCATGATTTGTGGGATTGATATTAAAATATGGATGTGCAGGAGATTGGCTTTCCCAGTGATGTATGGAATTACCCATTGCTGGTAAGCCAATTTTCCTTCAATTTTGAAGGAAACAGTCACCTACCCAGCGATGGGTAAACACTTCCCATCGCTGGGTGGGAGGTTGACTTTCAAACAATGAAAGAATCAAGCTTAAATGACTCACAACGGTCATGCCTAACCAGCGATGGGTATGTCCTCCCATCGCTGGGTTCCCATTGATGGGTTCAAGTCCCCATCACTAGGTATGAGCATTCTACCTTGTGTTTATATTGAACCAAGGCTTTTACAGCGATTGGTAGAACTTCCCATTGTTGTTTGACATGGTTCTGGAATTTAGTTGGGCTGAAGGACCGCTTAATCATCGATGAGTAATACTTCCCATCGCTGGGTTGATGGTTAGTCAAAAACCTATGATTTTTGCGTGAACCATGGCCTAGCCAAACAATGCTAAAACCGACCGAAAATGCAAAGTTCTCCAAAATAAAAACCAAGTGTTTAAAACACTTATTTAATGTATTTGGCCAAGAAATCAAGTGAGACACTTTAAAAACCACGTCATTTAAGTAAAAACCACGGCTAGCCAAGTTTATGTTGTTTCGCATGGTTTTTGCCAAACAATAAAAAACGAAAGGTGGTTTTAAAGTGTTTTTGTTGGAGAGCTATTTAAATGTACCCAAAAGTAAAAACCAATCATAAAATATTGAAAACCACTCGTTTGTTTCGGATGCCAAAAACCAACGCTGATAACCGAATGTCGAACGCCAGATTCTGAAAACCGAATGACGGTTTCTGAAAGCTTAATGCCAGTTTTTGAAATCTGAACGCCGGATGGCTTGGTTTTTGGTTTGGGCGAACACCAAGAGTTTTTAATATGTTTAAACATGTTTAAAAATCATTTTGATGATATGTGAAATGCATTAAAAGATGTTTTAGCCTAAAGAGCCAAAGTGCAAAGCTTGGGTCGGTCTTGATCACATTTGCGACCGACTCAACGACACTTAAAACTACGGTTTTCATTCTTGGTCTCTTTTAGCTCTTGTTCTCTTGCTTTCTTCTCATCTTTGTTTCTCGTATTGTATATTCAACAACTTGTCTCGTTCACGGCGGTTTGGCATTACCAAAGCCTTTCATAAAAATGAACACGGCTTTAGTACGATAAAGTGATAAACCTGTGTTTCTACAATTTCGGCCTAGGTTGGGTTTTGGGAGAGAAGGGTCATGGTTTGGGCTTTAATGTGGGACGGGTCAATGAGTTCAACCCAAAATGGATCATAATACCTAGACATTAAAAACTTGACTTGTTGCAACACTTGTGGTGTGTGTGAAGGTGCATCCCGGGGTATATCATTACGATTTGCTAGGAAAGGAAAATTGATCCGATTCCCCATCATAACGCTTGACAAAGGGAATTAGATATGATTGATTTTACTTATTCAACAATATAATGTAAAGTGATTTGGACTTATCAATGATAGACCAATGATAATCATTGACAAGTATGCCTCTCCAATCTATAAATAGGATGTTGTTTAGGGAGAACAGACATTCAATTCTACTTCCACAAATAAACACACTCTTAAAATAGAAATATATTTGGGCATAAAATATTTTTTAGAACTAAGTCACACTTTGTATTCTCTTACTTTGTTATTCATTCATACATACGTGTTCAAGTCACGCTAGTTCCTTTCTACCAGTTAAATTTATATCATCAGTGTTCATGCTTAATTGAGAACATTTGATCTTGGTAATGGAGACTCTTTAGAAGAAAAGATTATGTGCTAAGTTCTATAGGTGTGATTTTAGGCTAAAAGAAATTGACTTCTTAGGTCATAAAATGGTGGAACCAGAAATAGTATGGACAACAACTAAATAGAGGCTATTGTGAAGTGGTCATAATCGAAGAACATCAAGTACATATGCGTATGCATTTTTCTACTTCATATGCATTTTCTTCATCCCCTAGCATTCATTATTGTATAGCATAAGTCATCTAACCATCGATTCATAGAACTTTTCTTCTATGTTTGATGTTATCTTCTTGTCACAAAAGACAATTGCAGTTAGCTTCTGCTTTTCTTCAAACAACTCTGATACAATAGACAACATCTCTTTTTAACTCGCCACCCATCTAGATCATCAGACTAAGGGTAGTGATATTTGTCTCTATTAGAGACTAAATATGTGTCAATCTTTACTACCAAGTCTTTTGCCCAATCGCTAAATTTGTTGTAACGCCCTACAAACCGGCCTAGTTTTAAATAAATAAATATTATTTATTTGTTGAGACTCATTGTTTTAAATACTAAATATTGAGATTTTGAACTCATTAGATGGACTTCAAAAGTTAATGTGTTTTAAAATATAAAAAGATGTTTTAATAACGGACCTCTCAACATTAATTAAATAAATTAATTAATGATTGGGGTGGACCCGGAAGTTTAAAAATAAAGTTCTTAGAAAAATTATTTGAACATGTCATTAAATTCATTTTGACAGCCTGATTCCGGAAACACAAACGGATCTCAATTTGGACCCATTCGGGGGAAAAGCGCGTACCGTTCAGGTCAGATTTTAACATAACGGAGTAAAATAAATATATGTAACTCCCAATTCATTTCACACGCCACCCCACATCTCACCTTCCCTCTTAATTCTCATTCATTTTCCATTATTTCCCCATTAGTTTCCCATAATGTCCATTCAATATATAATAGCCTCTTCCCTCTTCACTTTCCACCACACTTGTAACCTCCATTCAACATCACAACTCTTCCACTCTCACTTGTTCTGTTCGGCCAAGCAGTGGTAGCAGCCGAGGTGTTCCAGCGTTGAGGCAAGGAGGAAGGTAGGGAGAGGAGAAGAAGGTATACGCGAGAAGCCATCCGTTCATTAGACGCCGTTCGTTCATCTCGTTCCATTATTCCGTCAATCCCATCGTTTAGAGGTGAGTAGTTGTCTCCTCTAATTCTAGAACATCAAGTTATAATCTATGTTGTTATATTCATAGGAATATCGTACGCAACCTACATAGAATCTATGCATGTTCGTAGGTTAACCATCCAACATACGTGTGTCCATGTTATCAAGTTATGTACTCGTTAATATAAATGTTTTGAAACCTTGTAAGTTCATCGATTATCTAGCATGGAAATATAAACATTCGTTTTTAAAACTTCCAACGTTTTGATGACAAACAAACAGATTTAATGGAAGTCAGCGTGCCTTGATAATCGAGTTACAGAGTAGTACAATCGACTATCAAGCCACGCTGGACTCCTCAGTTGGTTCAGCACAGCGTGATAATCGATTATCACATATGTGATAATCGACTATCAGGCCCTGCGGATTCTTGGGTCTGAGTTGGCTTCACTGATAATCGATTATCACATAAGCAATAATCGATTATCAGGGCTCTCTGAACTTAGGACTTTCCGAACAAACCAACTTGACAATCGACTGCCATAGGGTGACAATCAACTATCACAGCCTGCAGGACTTTGGGGACAAAAGCTGCACAGCATGATAATCGATTATCAACAGTAGACAATCGATTATCAGCCAGTTCTGAACCTAAGGCCATCATGTTGAACAAATTGTAATCAAACACATATGTATGCGATGAATTTAACTTCCTTCTCCAATCAATGCATTCATTTCATCATGTTCATCCTAGACGTATGTCCTAGCTTCATCATCAAGTGCATACCGCTGTAGGGAGGTCATGCTTCCGTGCGCCTACTACAGTGGGCCCGTCCAGGAACCCTCGGGATCCAACGGGTTTTCATCAGGTGGGCTTTGTGTACGTACATGGTAGTCAGGTTACGGCTACCACCCAGTTTTTGCTAGTTCACTTGCGACGTTTTGTCGAGCCCGGGTCATTACCGGAGTGCAGGCCGGGGTGATCCTGTCAAGTGAGACTAAGTCAGGGGTGTCCCTAATAGTTTAAGTCATGCATCAAGTCATATTGTCATCATGTGTGTTCCATGTCATGTCAACATTCAAAGTGGTCGTCATTATCATGTATGTTCCACGACACATCAATATTCAATATGGTTGTTATTCATTTTGTTATGTGTAATAATATCCCATCAAGTGCAAATGAATCAGTTAGTAAACATGTGGTTTTCCGTATGTTAAGTACATGTATTAATATGTGTATGGCCATATGGGTTATCACTTAATGTTCTTTTGTTAGATTCACTCCTCAGCTTTTGCTGAGCGTGTAGTTGTTTTTGCTACACGCAGGTAGACATGACGGTGCGGGTGCTAACCCTGGAGGACAGTGATGGTGGGAAGATGGGCGGCGCATGGACAAGTTCAATAATTAAATACATTTAATTAATTAATCATTTGGGCATGAACCCACCATTTGTCGTTTTACTTATTTATTTACTTCCGCTTTTACTCTGCATTCATATCACACACGTTATGAGGTTAACTCCCTAGCATTTATTTCACTAATTAAAACACAACCGTTTTCATAATAAATAGTCATTAATGCGTTTTTCTCTACGGACGGTTCTCGGACCGCCCATGTAACCCTACCGGTCCGTTGGATCGCGGGTGAACCGGGTCCACGGAAGGCGGGTGTTACATTTGTTCAATCAAAAACCTTTAGATTCCAAAAATTGATACTATGCTTCTAGTTTAGGCTCTATCATGTTCTTCTGATTTGATTGGGTCTAACATAATTTTTTAAAAGTTTACTAGATCTAATCTTATTCACAACATTACTATTTGTATATTTTAGTTTTTATTTTTTAAAGATTTGAGACCATTATTTCAACCCGTTACTTTACATATTTGGCAAAATTGTAAATTTTGTAAATATTTTATTTATGATTGTAGCCCCATATATAATTAGTTGAAAAAATAACTTAAATGGAGCGGAATATTGTTGAGTGCCTCTCAAGCGTCGTATCAACTATCAAACACCCAGTTATTTCTATTTTCCAAGCCCAGACCGTCCTTTTGTCATTTTTTCACTCTCCCTGCAGTTTTGCGCGTCACCATTCAATTGGCCATAGCAGGGCAGCCATGATCGCAACAGTAATTACAATTTCAGCATATTCGTCTGAATCTCATGAGTTATTATAACTATAGATCTTCTTTTGATTTTGTTTTTCTTAAATTTGAAATGGTTGTTGAATATGAAGCAGCAGAGAAGTGGATCCGGGCAATTGACAAGCCCTAAATCCCAATCCTCTACCCAAACGGGACCATATCTTTCAGTTTCAGTGACTGATCCGGCTAAAATGGGCAATGGCGTGCAATCTTATATTTCATACAAAGTCATCACTAAGGTCATCATTTCTTAGCTTCTTTTAAGTTTTCTGTTTACTAATTTTTTATTGTCATATCTTATCTGAATGCCTATTGTGTTGTTCCGTATCGGATCTTCCGGTTACTGTGAAGGCGTACTAAGTTTTTTCTACCTGTTATTTGGAGTTGATTTTTTGTCTTTCTGTGTGTTGTGTTTTACATTCTCCACAACAAGTACAAGCAAAATCTAATATAACTCATTACGTTTTGCTACTCTAGCCAATATGCTATCTCTTGATTTCATGCATTAAAATCCTCATTTTAGCATGTACCGTAAATGGTTTTTGAACACCAAAAGTCCAATGTCTCTTTTATACTTTAAATATGTCTATTTCACCTCTTGAAGTCTCCAACATTTTACAACTCCTCACTCTGAACCACAATATTTGCTTCTCAACGGTTGAGTTGTTTGGACAAATATTACTGACACTCTTGAGCAGTCGAACATAATAAACACCTGATTTTCTCCCACTGTATCTTTAAAAGACACTAAACTCACTCTCTTTCAAATCTCTAAAAAAAGTATTTTCTAGACCTACTGTGCATCCATCTTAAGCTTCATCAATTTTTATTAATGCTTTGTAATAATAGCCCAAAAGTTTTATCTGTGCTATAAAGCCAATCTTATATCCATGTTGGGTTATTTTACAATAAAATAATATTTATATCCATTCTATCAAGTCTTTGTCAATATCTCTATTTTTGTATAGTTAATCTCAAGTACTTAGAGAACACTTAATGATAGTTCGTTAACATCTACTTTCACCTCCTTTGGTTTTTATCATTAATTCTCTAATGGTCCTAAATTTTCATTTTGTAGAGTGTCTAACTTTGACTTATCATAAACTCTCTTGAATCTACCATTTTTATTTTTCTAATTTATCATATAGCCATTCCTTTGATTTATCAACAAGTATAATATCATCCACAAACAACATAGTGCCACTCCATTTAAAGTACTCCTGTTAATTGATATATGGCTTCCCTACTTCAGAAAATTCATGCAAGCTGTGTTAGTTCTACTTTCAGTCTTCAATTAGTACAGTGTAACTATTCATTCTATACCAAATACAATTAAGTGGCTCTTGACTTATGTATAAACATTCTTTATCAAGGGTTGTTCAGTGTATAGTTTGTTTTTGGTTTTTTGAGAAGTTAGTATAGCATTGTGGAATTACATCTAAGGATATATCTTTTTCATTTTGTGATAACCACGCATGTTGGGATGATTCACTTGCTATTATGGAATGTCTTAATTGCAACACATATTGAAATTCTCCATCTGGACAAACACTTTAGCCACTTAGATATTCATGTGCCATGCATCAGTCTTTCGTAAGTGGGCTGTTGTGTACAATGAAAAAAGTATATTATCCGTTAAGAAATCAGAAACATATCCAATTGTGTGATTTGCTCATTTTTGTCAAAAGATAGTCCACGTAAGCATATATAGCTCAGTCCAACTGATTCATATTTAAGACTTTAAAGGATATGTTGAGTTCATGATGTTAAAAAGTGCCTGAGGTTTACAGTTTGAGGCATGAAGAAAAGAACATAAGGCTTAAGCCTTAGTCGACTTAATTAAAGCTTACGCCCTAAGGTGTCAGAGGGGTATGCTTATAGGTGGCCGATCTCATTCCTCGATTTTAAAGGGAAAAAATTGTCTTGCCCTCTTTAGAGTGTTTTTTTTAAAAATTGTGTTGGGCTTTTTTTTTTTCAATTACACTTTGCATTGTGTTAAAGAAATACTACATATGTGTTGGGCTTTCTAAAGCTATTGGTCCCTTAACAATCTAGATATGAGCTTAGTCTTGCCCTCTCCTCACAAATCCTTCTTTTCTCTATTATCAAGGAGCCGGTATCTTATTCTCCTTTGTTCCTTAGTGCCATAACTAGGTGTTGGGACCGCGCGTGCCCTTACCCCAACCCCGCATTAGTATGAAATTGTCCGCTCTGGGCAAGCCCTCACGAATTTGTTTTTGGGAACCTCCCAAAAGGCCTCATACTAATGGGGTTGGGGTAACCATATAAATGTTGGTTCCCTTTCTTCTAATCCTCCGGTGTGGGATTGGTTTGTATCCCAACACTAGGAGCTTGTCTCTTCATTTTTCCTTCTTCACCGATAATAAAGCAATCCTCAATCGATCACCGGTTTAATCTCTCATCTCTATCATGTGGTAAATCTTTTTATTTTCCTCTTTATTTACTCTTTTCCTTTTATTCTCTCTTGTTAAAATCATTTTGACTCTTTCTCTATGTTCTCTTCCTATTAGGATAACAATGATGAAACTATAACTCCCTAGATCCTTCTGTCCCAAAATCGTCTTCCCACGTGAAAATGACACGAAGATTATGAATGAAATTTTTTTATTTAAATCCCCTACTTTTTGGGTTTAGTAAAAGTGGAGTAAAAGGTACTCCTTTTGTACCTGAATTATCTTTGCATTTGAAAATGACACATAGATTAAGAGTCGAAAGAAAGTTATATAAATGCCCATGCTTTCTTTTTTGAATTCGGTAAGTGTGGTAGATGGTATATATGTAGGTTGTTAATGGTAGTGTATTTTTTTGAAGTACAAGGTGCATGCCAAAAAAGGAAATGAGAAGTTGATTTTGGGGAAACCAAAAAGAAAAGTTGGATGCTAATTTTGGGATGAAGGGAGCAGTAAATATGTAGGTTGTTGAAAGTAAAAATATGTGTGTGTGTGTGAGAGTAAAAAGTGTATACCAAAAAAGGAAATGAGAAGATTTTGCGACATTCTGAACTGGCAAGTGCGAAAATGACTTTAGGATAGAGGGTGCTTTTGAAAAGTGGTATTTAGAATCATAGAATGCTTGTTTGTGCATGGTGTAATTGGTAATTGTTTATTATTGTATTGACTTTGATTTTTGTTTATTAGAGCAATTCTATATTTCTATGTGTGTGTTTATTTCAACATGTCAAGTTTTATGCCATTAATTATCATTATGAACTATATATTTTTTTATTATTATTATTATTAGTATAATCTATTACAAGTGTATAATTTATTACAAGTGTTGTTATTTTATTTATATTAATTCAAAGCTTACGCATCACTTCCCCTCGCGAGGCAGAGGACGACAACCCTGTGGCATGATCTTTCCTTTCAAAACCTTTGTTAAGTTTTGATTTTTTGATGGAATCACATATAATTGTGTACTTATCCTTTAGTTTGTGATATGACCATGCATGTATTGTGCTTTATAATTATAAATGTTTGTTGGCAGACTAACTTGCCCGAGTATCATGGGCAAGAAAAGATTGTAATTCGACGTTATAGTGATTTTGTCTGGTTGCGAGATCGTCTTTTTGAGAAGTATAAGGGCATCTTTATCCCACCTCTTCCAGAAAAAAACACTGTAGGTAATGACCCGTGCTACCCCCCCACCCCCACACACACACTCACACACACTCACAGTATTCTGGCTTTCTGAGTTTATCATATCTGATTTGGCAATTTTTATTGTTGTGGGATTTCAGGATAGCATGTATATTTGTATCTAACTGTCATTCTCTTGCAGAAAAGTTTAGGTTTAGTGCTGAGTTCATTGAAATGAGACGTCAAGCTCTGGACGTGTTCATTAACCGCATAGCTTCACATTGTGAGCTTAGACAAAGTGAAGATTTAAGAATATTTTTGCAGGCGGAAGAGCAGGTATCCTAATTTGATGAGGAAATTCCCTCTTCCCATCACTTGAATTTTCCCATTGTATTCAGTTATGTACTATATTTGATGTATGTATATGACTGTATATTCATTGAATCTTGAGGTTGAAGGTTGTTTTCTAGAAATAGTGCATATGCCAAAAACAATCCTATTACATGAGAACTATAAATGAAGGTTTTTTTTATCTAGATCTAGCAGGAAAGCCTTTGCTTCTTCTGTAAGTTGCTTAAGGGCCTCAAGGAAAGGAGAATGAGTATTTCTATAGCCTACTAGGTAAAGAGGTATTTTCTTGAATTTAGTTGAAATGAGGGAGAAAGACTAAAATAGGAGAAAAATCTAGGGAAAAAACCAAAATATGACCTTCATGTTTTATCCCTGAAATAGGACCTATAATGCCAACATATAATACCATAAAATACTAGGGAATGCCAATATACAGTGCCACTGTCACAGTGTGAGTCTTATTTTGGGGATAAAAACATATCACTCCTATTTTGTGATAAAAGCATGTCACTCCTATTTTCGGTATAAGGACCATGTTTTGCTCCTATTTTGTGTGATTTCTTTTGAACTGATTTTGATGCATTGTTGAAAACATATTTAAAATATACTCCCTCCGTCCCGGGATTATCTTCCTTCACTATTCCAAAATTACAGGTACTTTTGTTTATTTGTGAATTTTCATTGATTATTTGATAAACTAAAATATTCTCGTCACCACTTGTTTTGTAGAATTTTTGACATAGTTTATAAATATGTAAATTTTATTTTTTATTAATATACCAATCTTCAAATAAAATGAATTGAAAAAAATCAAGATTTTATTTTGTTTTGCGTAAAGTGAAGATAATTATGGGATGGAGGGAGTATTTATTAATAATATAAAGATTTTTTTATTATAAATGAGCATGTTTTCATTCATTTCACGAACTCTGTAAGAAAGTACATTATGCACTCTTCTTTTCATTACCAACCTGTTCAGCTTGTGCTAGTCACTAAGCAGGCAGTTACTTTACGTACTGTTTTGCTCTGTTTCATCAATCTTCAGTTTCAGTGAGATTTTTTATGCTGATTATTAATTTTTTAAAATGTTGCGTGCCTCTTTTACAGACAATGGAAAGAGCCAGATCCCAGGAGACTGGTATTTTCAAGAAAAAGCCTGCTGATCTGATTCAAATGTTTAAGGTAAAATATAATTCTATAAAAGTATAGTTAAAGGTGGTTTGTAAAGATAGTTTTATTAGAAACTGCACATTGTTACCTATGTCAATTTATTAAAATTTGTAGGGAAAATAAAAATACAACCCATTGAAATTTGTTGGAAAAATAATTATACAACAACCCAGTAAAATCCAACAAAAATTCCACAAGATGGGGCCTGGGGGAGGGTGACAAAAGATACAGGACATCAGCACAACAAAAGAAAACACACTCCTAGATAGAACAGGCTAAGTCACCAAGTCCTACACAATGGTATAGCACTACCCAAAGCTCGACTATATAGTCATTGACTCATTTTCCTCCGCATAGTGTCCTTTATAACAATCACAATGATGAAGCTTCAGTAGGTTAAGATAACAACAACCAATAAAATCACTTCTCCATTCGGATCTTCGTGGTGTTGATGTACGGAGTCTCATCCGTGCAAAACAGCGAGGGAGAGGTTGTTTCCATTAGACCCTAGAGCATTGCTGCATTTACTGCCCAAAACTTCATAGCATATAAGAAGCAAGGGAAGTAATGCACATACCAAAAGGCACAGAAAAACATCCAATGGCGCCAATAACTCTCTCATTAGCTTGAGATATTGCACCTTCCCAAGTAAGGAATCCACTGCATTGCCTACACTCCTCGATTTATCAGACCCTTGAAATGTATTATAGTAAAGTCCAGCCCTTTAACTTAAACAATTTTGTTCATATGGCCCCCTCACTTTCCCGCAGAAGATCTGAAAGAAATTATTGGAGACTATAATATACTGCAACCAATAGTTGAAAGCATAATAAGAACTGGAAGGGAGAAGGACCAAAGTAGTAGTAAAACATATGGCATATCCTCAAAGTAAGAGTTGAAACATAAACTCCCCTAAATAGGAGTAATTAACTTAATTAATCTAATGGCTTAGAGTTAAGAAGCGAGTAGAAGTAAAACATTGATCATGTACCAAAATAGAAATTATAGTCATATTACAAATATGAAATCAAATACATTTTATAAATTAAAAAAAATCTAAATTTGCTACAGCCCCTACCGCACATGTCAGATGTCACTATCGCCACCTTGCCGCCATCGTCACTACTATCGTTACCGCTACTATATTGTCGTTGCTGCCACTCCATCGCCACAATCTCCTGTTGTCATTGTCCCCATTTGTTGCTATCAATGTTGCAATTCACTGCCAACACTGGGATCAGAACTGCCATTATCGCCACCATATCATAGTGCCATGATGTCACTGGCAAGGGAAAAAGATTTCAATACAATGCCAACCAAAGCGATAATGTCAAAGACGATAATGCATACAGATAAACATGTCATTGTATAATGCCAAACAGGTTATTGCGTAATGCCAAACATGCCAATATAAAATGCCAAGATTGCCAACATACAACATCAAGTTTCTTATCACTATCACCATTTTTTGCTGAAATTTAGAGCAAAATTTAAACACCACTAATAGAAAAACAATAAAAAAATTAAAAGAAAAACAATCAAAGACAAAAATGAAAAGAAAAAACCAAACCAAAATCAATGCCTAACGAAGATGCAATTTTTCAGAGAAAAAAAGGATGAATGCAATTAGTTGGAAGTATTTCTTACTTCTACAATACAGTCTCAATTATAGAGCATTTGGAAGCTAATTAAAAATCAAAAGCATAGTTATCGTGACTGGCAGCAATCTCAGCTCTTATGGATATAGGCGGTGTGATAGATCTGCTAGGGGGGAGAGATAGAGGCAGCGCTCTACGGAGGATCTATAAGGGATGCTTCGTGACAGATCTGCAAAGGGGAAAGCTGTTGCACTTGGGGTGGATTTGTCAGAGACAACGTTTCAAAACAGTGAGGGTGGTGTCTAAAAATGAGAGAGAGGGAAGAGAGAAAGGCATGGTGGGGTGGCCGTGAGGAAAGGGAACAGAGAGATGAGATTAATTAGAGATTTAATACTCCCTCCGTCCCATAAAGATGAGTACGTTTTGCCTAAAGTAGAAATTAAGGGAGGGATAATTTTGTGTTGACTTTCCAAAAATACTCTTGATGTGATGGGTAAAAGTATGATGTGATGTGTAGATTATTAGAAAAAAGGTATGATGTGATAGGTAGGGTTTGAAAAAGTAAGGGTTAAAAGTGGTTTTTTAATAGAAATGGGTAAGGAATTGTGGGACGCAATTTTTTTGAAACGTGTAAATCTTTTTGGGACGGAGAGAATATTATTTATAAGGACTTTTATTACTTTTTTAAACCGTAGTGTAATCCATTTATATTAGCTAGCTACAACATGGACCAACAAATTAAAACTGAAGTGATTGTCGATTTTCAAATTTTAATACACAAACAAATCATACATGAGAGAATCACCTCAAATGTGCATGTGTAGTTTATCCATGCTGCATGTATTATTAAACAAAAGGACGGTGCCGCGTTATTATATGGAGTATTTGTTTAGAATTTTTATTACTTAATTAATTACTCCTATTTATAGGAGTTTAAGTTTGAGCTCCTATTTTGAGGATATGACATATGTTTTACCCCTATTTAGGGGGTTTTCTTAAACTGGAAAGGTCGTCCAAAAATTATTCGAGAGACAATGACTTCAGTAAATTAGGCAATCCTGTCAAACAATCTGTATGAAGTATGAAGTGAATTGGGAGTATCATACTTAAAAGAACTGATCTGTTTTGCTCATTATCTTATAAGATCCTCCAGAGGTAGAAACATCATTTTAATGAGCATCAAAAATACACAGCCATGAAATAATGTTAGGATACCCTCCTTAATTGAAGGACAGTAACAATACTACCCTTACAGTAATGTATGAGATAAATGCTTTCCAGCCTGACTATCACAAGATTTCCAAGTTCAGCCATACCAAGTTTTGGCCTTTTTTTCCTTTTATGTAGGAAAGATAATATGGAAACAAAATGTTACTCCCTCTGTCACAAATTAAATCTCCATTTTGACGGACAAATTTTTTAAAAAAAGTGTTGAAATTTTGGAAGTGTGTGGTGGGAATTGTTTTGAAATTGAGAACAATAATGATGGCCACATATTCCTTACTAATTACTATAAAAGGAAATAAACTTTTAGTTTTGGGATGCATAAAAAAGGGAAGTGTGTTGTTCATTTTTGGATTGAAGCCTTAAAGGAACATAAAATAAATTATGAAAAAAATGTAATAACTAAAATGACATGAAATTTATAAATAGAATAATTGAATTGTGTCACTCCGATTAACTACTCAGATCAGATAGAAACATTGTAGAGTCTAGTGGAAAGCACTCTCCTAAGTCCTTATGACAGACTTGCTCTCTCCTCTTGGAGTTCGAGTAGTATCGTAGAGACTTTCTCCACTTTCCACGATAAAATGGTTCTCGATGGTACATGTGAAACCACAGTATATAACCCAACAACCATGATAGTCAAGCTGAACACTATTGAAACAATGAGTACTGTCCCTAAATAAATGTCTTGTTTAAACAACATGCAAATTTTCATTTTAAAAAAATGATTTTAGTTACAAATTTGGGTAGAAATTAAAGGTATAATTTCCATATTAAAAAATTACATCAAAAGTACTACGAAACAAGTGGTGACTGGTGACATGTCTATTTTATTTTATCAAATGATCAATGAAAGCGCACAAGCAAACAAATGTTATTTTATCAGAATCCTAAATAGTAAAGACGAGCCTAAAAAGATGATTAAAATAAAGGTTGCGTGTATTATTTATTTGAGAAGCTTATCAGTATGTACAGTCTTATGTAGGCCTGATCAGAGTGCAGGCTTCATCGGGCCAAAACACTATTCAAGTATTTTATAAGTCTGCACGGCCTGCATTGCAGGCCTAGCATTTTATTTTATGCCCAAGATCGGGCCTCACAGTACTTCCAGGCTCTGGGCTCGACCCACGCGCAGAACACATATTCTAAATATCATATAAAAAATAACAAAGTAGTGCCTTAATTTGTAAAAATATTATAAATACTTATAATAATAATAATAATACAAACAACAATAATGAGTAGACTATTGGAGGAACAACCAATGCATGCAATGTGTTTTGGGTGTAATATTTTTTCGAAAAATAATTAATGATGCACATGGAGCACTGGAAAAACTAAAGTAGTTCCTTCTGGTTTAATATACTTGTAGTTCTTGCACAGAAAACTTCTATTGGGTACCCCATATTTTGAGAAACTAACTGCCGGGTACCTCACATTTTCAAAATATACTCCGAGGTACTTTCTATTTTGAGAAACTAACTATCGGGTACCTCACATTTTTAAAATATACTCCGAGGTACCCTCTATTTTGAGAAACTAACTATCGGGTACCTCACATTTTTAAAATATACTCCAGGATACCTCCAAATATACATTAATTTTACGCCATTAATTTTAAGAAATAGGGGTTTGGAATTTTAAAAGTAACCAAGATCTTTTCTTGGTACAATTTTCTTCAAATTAAAAAGATCTTGGTTTTTTTAAAATTTTAAACCCCTATTTCTTAAAATTAATGACGTAAAATTAATGTATATTTGGAGGTATCCTGGAGTATATTTTAAAAATGTGAGGTACCCGATATTTAGTTTCTCAAAATACAGGGTACCTCGGAGTATATTTTAAAAATGTGAGGTACCCGATAGTTAGTTTCTCAAAATAGAAGGTACCTCGGAGTATATTTTGAAAATGTGAGGTACCCAGTAGTTAGTTTCTCAAAATATGGGGTACCCAAGAGCAGTTTTCTGGTTCTTGCAGGCTTGAAACTAAAGCTCCTTCCCGGCACTCAAGGAGTGGTTTTTGCCCCTTTTGGCAAAAGTTCTTAATTGAGGGGATTTTAAAAGCAAATTTAAATTTGAAGAACTACTCTTAATTGAGGGGATTTTAAAAGCAAACTTAAGCTTGAGTTTGGGTTCTCTTGAAAACAGCCTGTCAGCCTCCCTGCTTTTGAGTGGGGGTAAGGTTTGCGTACACACCCTCCCTAGACCTTACTTTGTGTGGGATTTTACTACGTTTGGCGTAGCTATTAAAAGGAAATTTAAATTTCAAGAAGCAATATCTGGGCTGAAAAAGCCATTAATCTACTATTGGATTGTTTGGCAGGATGTACAATCAAGAGTGAGTGATATTGTCCTTGGAAAGGAAAAACCAGTTGAAGAATCGAATCCTGAATACGAGAAACTGAAGCATTACATATTTGAGCTGGAAGAACATCTAGCTGAAGCTCAAAAGCATGCATATAGTTTAGTAAAGAGACATAGAGGTGCCAAAATAGTTTTTAAGACATTATTATACGTGCATAATGCATCACTCAGATTAAGATTCTAGATTTCCGATCCTGCTGATCAATGCACTATCTTTAAACTCCGAATAAATCATTGGATCAGTGCAAATTTAGAGGCATTGGAATTTACTCTTTGTTTTTTCTAATCAGAGGGTATCGGTGGGCTTAAATGAAGTAAATTCACTTAATAACTCTAAAGTTATGTTCATTAGTGTCTTTAGCTCGTAACATTTCCTTCAACAACTATGTGATCATCTTTCATTAGTCTCTATAGCGATGAATAGTTTCAGTATCTGATTTTGAGCTAAAATGGTTTGCTATCTATGATGTAATAAATATCCAGAATTAGGAGAGTCTTTGTCAAGCTTTGGGAAGGCAATCAAGGTTTTGGGATCATCTGAAGACAATGCACTGGGGAAGGCATTTTCTGAACTTGGGGCAAAATCTGAGCTTATATCAATTAAGCTTCAGAAAGAGGTAGAGTCTGAATTAGAAGATCCATTCGATGGATATCCTTCAATGCTTGAATTCATGGTCTAATTCTATACTCTCATCTAGGCACATCACCTCCTAATGAATTTTGAAGAGCCATTGAAGGATTACGTTCGAGTGGTGCAGTCAATTAAGGTGAGTTAGCAACATTTTTTATGAGGGTTTTCTTATTTACTAACTGGCATGTTGGCATGTTATGTCTTCATGCTGGATTCTCATGTTGTCCTTTGTAATTAGCTGAATTTATAATGGAATAAATCTAAATGACATTAAACTGACCTACTTCTTACTTCCTATGAAGTTTTTGGAAGTAAATGCCCCAGTGTATTCAAGGGTCTACTCGAAATAGTAAAGGCTGCGTACATCTTGACCCCAAACCCCAAAGAAGTTGGTATTATATTGGGTGTAGTGTTGCTGATGTTGTTGTCTATTGCCTTTAATTTGTAGTTGGAAAAAGAATCAAACGTATTGGTAAAACACTAAAACCCCATTCCTCTTGTACAGTCTCACTCCCCTAATATTTGGTGATATGAGGGTGTAATGTGACAAGAAGAATAGATTGTCATTTGATGCATGATTTTGTTCATGATGTTAATGTACAGGCCACAATGGCAGAGAGATCAAATGCTTTCAAGCAGCAGTGTGAACTGGCTGAAGCAATTAAATTCAAGGAGATAGATTTGTATGATTTGTTAATACTTTGATCCACCTTGCTATTTGATTTTATTATACGGTCCCGTTCAAGGCTGTGTTCTTTTCTGTTCCTTTCATGCCAGAAACAAACTAAGGTTAACACGATCAGAGAAGTTGGTTGAGGTTGAGCGTGAATATGAAGTGGTGAGTTGGACATATATTTTGGGTTGTGTTGACGGACTGAAAAATATTTCTTTTCCAGTTCCTAATTAACCATTCTCTGAAACAGGTGAAAGCTGAGGGAGAGGAAGCGGCCCAAAGATTCAGAAAAATAGTTGAGCTGATGAATGGAGAGATTGTCCAATTTCAAGAGCAAAAAACAATGGATATGGGAATTGCTTTCCATGAGTTTGCCAAGGGACAAGCAAACCTTGCCAAGAATATTGCAGAGGCTTGGCGAGGCCTCCTTCCTAAGCTTGAAGCTTGCTCCTAATCACATAATATTTGGTAACTCTTGTGTTGTATGTTCCACTAACCTTTTGATCTGCTTTTACCGATACAAACAGATTCAATAAATAAATAAATGCAGACAGTTGGTCAAGTCTGTTATTGATTTTTACCTCCAGATTATGCCACTTTCTACCATGGGATCCCTTCCCTTAACAAATCCATTTAGTGTGCGGAGTTAAGAATGTTGTTTCAATGTTTCTCAATAATCATAATAAAAGAATTACATGGGGTATATATATTCGGTTCCTTCTCGGTACTTTTTCGGTTCAGTATTTTTTGGTTCGGTATTCTCGGTTTTTTCGGGAAATTTCGGTATCGGTTCGGTTCTTGCTCACCCCTATGTATCTATGTATGTATGTATGTATGGATGGATGGATGGGTGGGTAGGTGGATGCATGCATGCCATGCATGTATAGGTTGAAATGAGAATGCATACGATTCATTAGATTTAAGATTTAAGGGCTATTATATATATATATATATATATATATATATATATATATATATATATATATATATATATATATATATATATATATATATATATATATATATATATTTGATAAAGATAATTTATTAAAGAAAGAGAAATACAAAAGGTGGGAGTGGTCCATCCCTTACAAAATGGCCAGAGTATCAAAACAAAGCACAAAAACAAAACAATCAGAACAAAAGAGTACAAAGATGAGTTGAAAGAAGAAACGTGATTGTGGCAGCAAAGAAACCCTGTTTTTGTTGTTTTGCTATCAGAGTATGCACCCAACCCTGCTATCTAATCTTCCGATTCATATTTGTGGCCTGAGGAACCCAAAAATCATCCTCTCCTCTAGCCTCAATAATATCCATCAAGCACTGCAGCATCCCAAAAAAAACCAGATTCTCATATGCTCCCAACTATACTGCTATGAAGGGAATAGCTGCAACCCTGGCTAGCTAGAGCCCAAGAGGAAAATGGCTTCCTTCATCAACCTAAAGCTCCCAATCACTAAACTGCTGCTCAAACTTGAAACCCGGAATGATATCCAAATTTAAGAAACAAATGAAGCATAGGCTGTAAAGTTGGTAAAATTGCATTCAAGTAGGCCAGATTACTGAGTGAATTGTCTACATCCTTATGGAGTACTGCAAGACATGTGAATACAAATCTAATACCAAACATCTCACAAAATTAATCCTCCTTATGGCTAGCAGGGGCAGATTCAATTCCAATTATTTCCAGGCTGAAGACCAGTGAAGAGAAAAGCACCATATGGGTAAAGTAACCCGGCTATAACACAGATTCCTATAGTAGTATATGTCCCCAAATAACTACTAAAGGACCAACTTGATTATTCAGAATCTTCCCTTTCGTGCCCTGAATCCCTCTTCTTCTTAAGTCTCTTCTTAGACTTTTTCTTTTGGCTTTTGGTTAAAGGTGTATTCGGAGAATGCTTCTCAAGAGGTTTTTCTGGCTTATTTGGACAACAAAGCTTGAAGAAATTTCTAATGTCTTCTGCATAGGGAACCTCTGAAGAGTCTGATCCTTCCTCCCACCCAATAGGGGTTTTCTTTCTTCCTTCGTTCAAAAGCTTAGCCCTACTTCTGGTTACTATTTGCGAAGGAGAGTAGATGTGCCTGCCTTTGTAATCTCTTCCCAAGTCAAAAGGTGTTTTGAACATTCTAGAGTAATCAATTTGTAGAGGTTTAAGGATGTTGTCATTGAAGACCTTGTCTTCACCTTCCGAGTGCGTGTATAGAATAGGCCCTTCTCTATCCTCCCTAATTTCTTCTATTGCATTGTTGCAGAGTACCTTGTTCCCATCAGTAATCTTGTCAAATTCATCATTCTTGAGTGAGCTTCCGAGGTCTTCCACATGATTAAAAAGAGCAGCATAAGGGGCGGGCATTGAGGGGATAAATTCAGCAGCAAATGGGGATAAAAGCACGCTTGGTAGTGAGGGGTATTGAATATTATATCGTTGGGAATCCTCTTCTGGAGAATTGTTCCCCTCCAGCTTATCAGTTTCAATGAAGCAAGAAATCAGATTAGGGTTAATCTTCTGCTTGTCTAGTTTAAGATCTCCAATTTGATTTGGTTGTAACTCCACTTGTGAAGGATCTGTTCCCGGCAGGATGTTAGTATGGGAATCAGAGAGTGTGACAGGATTTGCCTCTCCTTTGTATGTGTTCAGAAATAAGCTTGAATGCAAATGCTTTTCATCAAGTTCAAGCTTGTCTTTAGCATCAAGAGAGGGACTTTTTTGAGCATCAAACACAGTCTCTCCTTCGGCAATCACTTCAAGGACATTAACCTCACTTGGTTTTGCTGTTTCTTTCCCAATGCCTCTGTCCTTTCCAAAATGCAGAGCTCTCTCTACAAAGGTCGAAAGAGCCTTAAAAAACAACTGAGGTCCCTCATTGTTAATTCCCCAGGGGATATGAATGAATCTATTCCCTTTGTTTCTAGATTCCAAAATCCTTATAAAATCACCCCTACGATTTGAATCAATAGCAGCTTCTAGTGTTCTTTGAACATCCAATTTAACACAAGCCCAAGCAGAACCGAAAATCAATCTAGGAAGAGTCTCTAGAACCCAATTGATAGAATCTAAATCGAACCATATATGAAAGTATCTTCTCCCCCTATCTGTAATACTAAAATTCTTATTGTAGACCGAGTAAAAAAGCTCAAATACCTTATTTAGAATTCTGAATCTAAAACAGATGTTCTTGCTAGGCCATGAACAAGCTTTATCACTCTGACCCTGTATAACGACTCGCTGGTCTGCCAGAACATATGAGTTCTTCAAGTATTTAACGTTTGGAGATTTAAACGGCCATCTAGTGTCTCGACGGCAATGCTTCGATCTCTCATTGTAGTGGCATGCCTTTTGGTTTTTGTGATTTCTGACAAATCTAGTTCTCTGGTAAGACTTGGAAAAGGAAACAAGTTGCCGGCGAGAATAGTCTGTGTAGGAACCCATATGATGCCTGAAAACTGGCTGGTTAGAATCCCCATTGGCGTGGGGGTGATCGATAAATCTGCCGGGGTTTTCTCTCTCAAGAAACCTAGGCATTCCTATTCATATATATATATATATATATATATATTAATCCCGGTAGCGTTCCACCAAAATCAGTGGGGTAAGGACCAGGGAACCCTTACCAAAATTTATTAAAAACTATCACCACGTTCAGGGGGGACTAGACCAGAACCCCGAAAGTTACAAGGGACCACCGAGCAAATTTACATTAATAACCCACATAAAGAAATTCAAAAATAAAAATCAGGGTGCCTAAAGTCTCCCGCGCCTCCTTTGAAGATTCACCTGTGTGCCTTTTCCCCGTTGAGCAGAAACCATGTAGCCTCTTCCTCTTAATATGTTACCCAATGTGTACTCGAGCTGCAACTCATCCCCCATGGTAGGACTGAAGGTTTCTCCCGCTCAAACAGATAGTTTGAAACCCTAGGTCAAATAGTTCCAGATCCTTTAATGCCCAACTCTTCTTCCTGTGAATCCAGCACCAGCCTTGGATCATCTTCTTGATTTGGTTGTGCGCGGTAGCTATGGAGGGTCTATCATCACTATAGATCGCGGCATTATACATTTTCCATAGGTTCCACGCAATAATACCTGGTAACAC